TGCCAGCGGGACCAATGGTTTCACAGATCAAAGCAGCGCTTTCACTGCCATGCGTCTCTTTCAGGCAATCAAAGCGGCTAAGGAAATGACCAAGAACCTCTATGCACCTCGATCCAGTGTCACGCCTGGCCAGGCTTCTTCGGATCGATCAGGCCTCGAAGTGCTTTGTGACCGACACCAGCTCCTCACGGATTGGACTAAGGAAACTGGGCTCCCGAAGCCCAAACTTGAGGCCCAGGGAAGTGACAACCTTCTCAAGGCGCAGTTCCGCTTCTGCTCCAAAGGAGAACTCGGCTTCATCAATGCGAAATACATCATCAGTGCCTTGCCAGAGCTTGAAGAGAAGCCTTTCAAGACAAGGCGAAAAGTGACAGTAGACGGTTGGGACAAAGAAGAGGAGGAAGAGGAGCGGAAGCTCCCGACCACTCGGCGACATCTGGAAAGGATGCACCGCGTCTTCCGCAACAATCTTTCGATGTGTCTTCTTGCTTTCCCCCAGTTCTCGCAGTTCGATGCGTCTAAGCATGATCTCGATGATTGGTATGACTGGTTCTGGGGTCCGGACATTGCGGGGCGAACTCCAGCCCCGTCGGAGAAAACTCTCCTTTACGCTGAACGAAACGCGTGGAGAGCCATCCACAATCTGGTCTACGAGGGCAAATCGCTCAAAGAAGCCATGATGGAAGTTCGTGCTGATGCCCTCTTCTGGACAAGGGAAGTCTACGAGCGCGTGCCTCGGCCTGGGGAGAAGGGTCCGAAGGGCACTCCGAAGGGTGAGAAAGGCACTCCCTTCGCCAAAGCCCCGGGCAAGGGGTCCTGGAAAGGCAAGCAAACCTGGCCGGCGTACCAGCCCGTGTATCACCCCTTTCTTAAGCAGTCCACTAAGGGCAAAGAAGGTAAGAAGGGCACTCCCAAGGGCAAGGGCAAAGACTCCTGGCCCCAGAATTGGTCCAGGAATAATCCTAAGGGCACCCCCTTCTGCAGAGATTACCACATCAAGAAGCAGTGCCCCGGTAACTGTGGACGCTCCCACAACTGCCCGGTCACTAAAGACGGTTGGGTGTGCAATGCCCCTCCGAATGAGCACAGTCCGGACAACTGTCCCTACAAGTGAGGACTTCCAGTCCCAGGTGCCCGTGGCCCTGAACGAAGAGAAGTGTCGGAAGTGGAGACACGAGCTGCCCTCTCCACACCAGGTGCCCTTGGCCCTGAAGGAGTACAGGCACGGGACAGATCGCGATCTCCCCGTGGGAAGACCGCCCCCGCGCCAGGGTGGAACACCATTCAATTGGGCATGCAGCCCTCTGGTAGTGCTCCCTCGGATGACAAGCCTTGGATTGAGGAACATTACCCGGGCTCTCTGCCTGCAAATTGTTCTCCTGAATGGCTTAATGGGGTCCCCGACCGCCTGGTCCGGAGACTCCAGTGGTCCCCCTCCGATTGCACTGCCAGCATTCCTCAGGGTGCCATAATCTTGCCATTCGCGGGCCGTGAGGATGCTTCATCCCTTGAAGCGATCCTCCATGCTCAAGCCCCAGACCTCTCCTCGAGAGTTCTGGCCTTAGATTCCTCTAGGAAGCCCCCTGGTAAGGACCTCCTTAATAACACACTGTTTGGGTCTCTCTGTGCGTCGGCGCTGCAAGGAAGCATCTCCTTTGTGGGAGGATGCCCGGACCTCAACACCTGGGGTTTGGATAGATGGTTTCAGGACTCGGGTACTTTCCAGGCAGTTAGGTCCCGCTCGGCGGAGAACGCCTGGGGTATTGCCGCTCTCCCTGAGGCAACGCTCCACTCGGCGGATGAGGAGAGCACCCTGCTCCTTAGGTTCCTTCTGCTTGCATGGCTTGCCTTCAAGGCGACTTCGTCTAGTGCTACTGCTAAGGTCTTCTGTTTTCTGGAGATGGCTGAGGACCCTGCGCGGGGAGCCACCTCTCCGTCCAAACGACGCTCCTCATCGGCCTGGGCCACTTCGGCTCTGCGTGCTTGGACCTCAGATTTAGGTCTTGGTATTCTGCACTTCGATCTGTGTTCCTTTGGTTGGGTTGTTAGTCGTCCGTCTAGAGCCGTGACGAATCTTCCCCTCCAATCCTGGGAGGGTAAGACCTGCACACACACCCATCACCCCAAACCGGATCGTCCCGTGCCGGGGGACGCTCGACGACCTGAAGCCATGCTACAGTGTATCGCATCGGCACTAGCTGGTAAGCTTCGCGACACAGGCTCTCCAGCAAAGGATTCACCGCCGGATCCTGTTTCCAAACTCCTTGCTGGTCCCTCGCTGGGACAGGAGCGTCCTCGCTGGGCGGCTCAAGGGTCAGCACCCCCTGGGGCGGCTGTTCAACCCTCCCTACCCTCGCTGGGAGGGAAGCGTCAGATTGCTGGGTTTCCTGGTGCAGGTACCCAGGCAGGCGATCACTTGCTCGCTGCGACCCCGATGATTGGGTGTGATCGGCCTTCGACGCTACCGCTCTCGGAGAAGCTTACCCTCGACGATGCCACAATGCGTGTGACCCATGGTTTTAAGGTTAGGCCTTTAAGGGATGGTGGAGGAAAGACCTCTCCTGGTAGGACCCCTCCACACCTTCGCAAAGGACCGACGGCTCCTGCTCTGGGCAAGTTCATTCGCGAAAAGGCGGGGCCGTGGGTCCCCTCTTTTCTAGCCTCAACGGCCGCGGGTGCCAAGCAGCACCCCTTCCCGGAATCTGTTCTCAACGAGATCCGTGATTTCATCTTGCCCCGGCGCCCCCAACCGGATGCTGGACAGCCCTTTCACTTGGACGTGATCAGGAGACTCCTGTGTGACATCCAAGATGTCGATGCTGAGTATCCGCAGATACTAAAAGAAGGAGTCCCTCTTGGAGTGGATACCCCTACTCTCCAATCTCCGGGCGTCTGGCCCTTGAAATCGGAACTCATTGGTGAAGAGTGGGACCCGGTGGAAGCTCCACCCCCCACTGGCCATGCTAATTACTCCTCCGCGGACACATTTAGGGAGGAGATCCGGGCCACCTTTGTTGAGGAAACCCCCTTGGGCATGGTCATTGGACCGTGCACCCGCGCCGAGGCAGCGGCGCATTGCCAATGTGCAGAGGACGAGCTCTGCCCCTGCCCCATGGCAGGGATTGATGAGTCGGACAAGATCCGTTCCATCTTCGATGGGTCTAAGGGTGGTGCTAATCTCCGTATACAGCAGAATACCGTAGAGAAAACCACGGCCCCGACGGTCATGGACTGCGTCCAATGCCTGCACTGGCTTCGGGCATCTCGCTCTCGTGGGAAACCAGGCGCCCATGGCCCTGATCCTGAGGAGCATGCAACCCTGGCTACTGCCCCAGGGGCGACAAGCCGAGAACAGGACGGTCCGTCGGGTAAAGCAGACTCCAGCGCCGGCTCCGGCCGACCCTGGAGCTTCCCGGGCTCTGACGAGGACTGGATCTTGCTCAAGGCTGATGTTACTAAGGCGCACAGGAGAATCAAGATTCTCCTACGAGAGTGGCGTTACCAAGTTGCCCAGCTTGGTGAGGAATGGTGGGTCAACACCGTAGGCACCTATGGAATGGCCAGTGCCCAGCTCTACTGGGGAAGGATGGCTGCCATCCTTCTTAGGATTGTGTATGCCGTGTTTCCCGAGGTCGACTGGGGTTTTGTCTTTGTCGACGACTTTGCCTGGCTACTCCGTAAATCGAATTCCCCTCTGCTGGCAACAGCGATTTGCTTGCTGTTGCTTGCTCTCGGCACTCCTCTGAGCTGGAAGAAAACCCTGCTTGCTGAGGTCAATACTTGGCTTGGCTTTGTCATTGACCCAAAAGGACCCTGTGTGCAGATGGCCCGAGACAAGCACCTGCTTGTCATCGGCATTCTTGAAGAGCTTACAAGCGGTAAAGTCATGTCGGCTTCTCAGATCGCTAGCGCTTTGGGTAGGCTGCAGCGGGCGACAACGGCCTGCCCCCTCACCAAGCCTTTCCTCCAACCCTTTTGGGCTTGGAAGAAGGCCTGCCTGACCGCAGGACGTCCGGGTAAGCTTATCCGTGCACTCTCAGCTCTGCTCCTCTCTCGTTTTGACCAGAAGTTCAGACAAGCATCGCCGTATGCCCCGCTTGCCATTTGGTCGGGGGCAAGTGATGCTAGCGCCTCAGATGATGGCAGCGCCTATGTGGGCGGCTGGCTTTCTAACGTGGACTCCCCGTCCAAGTCGGAAGTCTTCTGGTTCCACTACCAGGTCACTGCAGAGCGGCATCCATGGGCCTTTGACAAGGGCTGCCCGAAAAAGCGCATTGCTGCCCTCGAGATGTTTGGCACACTGATCCTTTCTCACTTTCTCATGGAGAAGGCGCCTGCGTTCATACCGAACCTCAGGCTCCCCCTGGTCAGCGACAACCAAGGGAATGTGTACTCGCTCCTGAACGATAAGTCCAAGAGGATGCCAACGTCGGTCATCCTCATGGAGGTACTGTACCAGCTGCACCGGCATGGTATGCAGCTCGCTCCCTCCCACGTCAAGCGTGACTTCAACACTTGGGCTGATGATCTGACTCATCCCAACTTTCAAGGTTTCATTCCATCTCTCTGCTTGCCGGTGGAACCCGTGCTCAAGCATTTTTCCCTCATCCGCTCTATCCTGGAAGATCGTATTTTCGACGATCCTTGTGACCTCACCCATGGGCCCGTGCAGGGCGCCCGGTGAGGATGTGGCTGCCTCCTGTACAGGCTTCTTTCTGGACGGCACAAAATTTTGGAACTCTTTTCTGTACAAGGAGGGTTCCCGATCCACAGGTGCCGTAGGCCCTGAAGGAGGGGACCCTCCTTTGTTTCGGAACGGCCTCATTCTTGTCTGAGGTCTTCGACCGAAGGAGCATCCCGGGAGTCGGCAGCCACACCAATCCACCATGCAAAAGAGGGCTTGCGAGCATGGTCTTTTGGTGTGCCATTTTCATGCGGATATCTGACATTACTACTAGTATGAAGTGTCCTGGTGTTCGGCTGTTGTGATGCACGGCGAGGAGGTCCAGGCGTTTGGACGGCTCCCCCGGATTCCAAAGATTTGGACAGAGAGCCTGGCCCAGGACCGTCTGGGAGTTCTTAGTTCTTCCTATCAGCGTCCATTCCCCCTTTAAGAAGCCAGCTGCGAGATGTCGGCGGGTCCGACGACGGACGACGAATTTTGGCAATCGTCCCACGTCCCATCCTCTGAGGAGCTCCCGCAGCAGATCGAGGAGCTCTTCGAGGCACCGACACACAGACGCAGGGGGCTCCAAAGGGGCTCCCATCATGGGGGGTGGGGGGTCGCCCGTGACCCTCAGAGGCTCGCTGGAAGCGCTTCCTGGGCGACACGGGCTTCGCTTCCTACGAGGACTTGAGGCGCGGGTGCGGAGGGCCCAAGATCTCTGCAAGATGCCTCCACCGACGCTCCGAACAGGACGCAGCTGCAAGGCAAAACCTCTCGCTCGAGGCGCAGGGCGTGGGCATGCACGCCTGGCTCGCGAAAAGTGTGATCTTCTTGCAAACCTCGCAGGTCGAAGTCGGGCAGCGAGGTGCGCAATGCGGTTTGTTTGGCATTTACGATTTATGCTCGTAAGTCTTCAAGCGAGTTATTGTTGTGCAAGTGCGGTCTACCAGTAGCTTCACTTCTGGACCACCGCAAGCGTTCGAGATGCAGGTCTCAGATCTGTGGATCAAAGGCACGGCTCCGAATGAGCGGAATCGGCCGCGTGCCCGTGACAGTTGCAGCGATGAGCAGGCCTGCTCGCACTTGTCGCTGCGATGCTCACCGCGGTCTTCTGCCTGCAAGTGGCTGTTGCACAGACGTTGCTCGAAGAATCGACTCGCCGAGGTGCTGGTGATTCGGGACTGGAGGCTGCGCGCTCTGGGTTTCCTTCGTGGCTCGTCGCTGCAATCAGAATCAGACTCCTCTGCTCCCCTTTTCTCCGCTCGACGTTTCGCCGAGCTGGAGCCGAGGTCGGGCATTCAAGGACGCTCTCGGAAACCGCAGGTCGCTGTGATGGCTTGGCGAAGGTTCCCTCAGTGCCCTCGATTCGGGCCGGGACGCAGATCTTCCCGGAGATCACACTGTGGAGCGCAGCGCCGGACTTTGCCCGGCCGGCCTGGTCCAAACGCTCGATGCCGCGACTCTCTCCCCAAAAGCAGGCTGGACTTCTTTTCGCTTAACCAAGCACAGCGAGCTCTTGCACGGTCGGATGGAAATCTTGGAGGATCTTCAAGGGCAGATCTGAGCTTCTGCCACAATCATTTGCCATCATTCTGTCTACGTAGCAGACGTAGCATTATCACGTCTGACGTCTTACGTCCGGAAGCAGATGAAGATCGTCTGTGCAACGGAGACGGTGCTAATGGAGTGCAGTGCACGGTGCTGTTGCAAAGCCTCACAGTGTGCAGCGGCGAGCTGGACAAAACGCTCCCGATTTGCAGAGTGAATCGAACCTGATTCAAGCTTCACTGTTGGAGGAACTGCTGGAGAAGGAGAGGCTCATTCAAGAGGCGGTCAGCATGAGTGTGGAGTGAATCCGACGTCATTCCAGCTGTACTGTGGGAGGAACTGTTGGAGAAGGAGAGGCTCAAGCAAGAGGCGCTCAGCATTATTACGTAGTCTACTTCTCGAAACATGCAGCATGATGCTCGCCAGGGGTCATTTTCGTTGCTTTGTACCGGAAGCAGGCCCTCACAAAGCGAGAACGAGCTCTCGTGGAAGAGGCGAGCCCTCGAGCCTCGAGCTCCGCCTGAGGCTTCAAGTGAGAGCTCTCGCCTTCAGGATCCTCTGCTCTTGGAAGAAGCCATCGCCCTGTGCCGCAAGCAGGGCCTCCCGCTTCAAGGCGCTGCCGAAACTGCAGCAATGGCACGACTCGCAGACCCTCGGGGCCCTTTGTGCCAGGAGCGGAGGAGACCTTGCAGAGGTGGAGGCTCCAGGCGGAAGGGCAGACGGGCAGACGCAGCCAAGTGCCGAGCCCAGGGCATCTGTTGTCAGGCCGAAGAGCGCCAAGCTGCGGAGCAGCAGCTTCAGGCAGGGAGGTCTTCCTCCAATCTTTCTTTGCACTTGCATCCTTCATCATCGATTCTTTCCTGCATCGAAGCCTTGGATGTCATACATCATGACAACGCAAAGAGAAAAATGCACACGCACCTTCAGACGTATATCTTCCATGCCGTTTACGACATATCATCCTGCAGCTGGACCCGATCGATACCTCGAGTCTTCAGTCTTCGTCGGCGCCAGGCGGCTCTCGAATCGGAGGATCCTGCTGTGCTGAGAAAGGCCGTCGCCTCCACCAGGCTGCCCAGCTACAGGTAGTTTTGAGAGAGATGTCGGGAGCAGCGGAAGTGTGTGCGAGGACGAGAGCGCCGCCGACACCTTGGACGTGTTTTTTGTTGTGGGGCCTGTGGTTCCATGCAGCAAAGAGCCTGTGCATGCCGAGGCCCGAAGCTCTTCAGGCGGCGGAGGCGATGAAAAGCGAAGTACAGCGAAGTGAAGCCTAGGGCCCATGTCCAAGGGGGGTGCCAGGACAGACTTGTCGAGATGGAGGCACGGGCCAAGCGGCGGGAGATGGCGCAGCTCGAGCTTTTTGCCGGCATGTGGCGGATGGCGGTGCCCCGCGAAAGCGTTCCCACCCGTTCTCGGCCAAGGCTTTGCCTAGCACAGAACTCACGAGACATCCCCCGACTGCGAGCCGCTGTGGAGCTTGCACGCGCTGCCGGGCACTCGGGAGACGCTCGTAGAGTGCTCCAAAGTTCGGGGAAGGGTGCTGAGGTGGACCTTGCAGAGCAGCAGACGCAGGAGCCATGTTCATGCACTCGTTCGACGAAAACGGCTGTTTTCGTGCCCTTTCGTGAGGAAGCTGAAGAAGTTCTTGCTGACCTCATCCAGCAGGACATCACTCTCTCTTGCAGGATCATTCGGGAGCGGCTGCATCCTGAAAGGACAGCCTGCGAAGAGAGACTCTTCAGCGACTCGCAGAGGTCTGGTGCTCGGCTTTCAGCAGTCGAAGGCTCCACCAAATCGGATCCCAGGCTGCGAAGCTGCGAGACCTGGCATTGCTGAAGCAGGAACGCTCCCGCCTGCTCGGTGGAATCTCGGAAACCCTTTTTTGTTTTCAGGCGCTGTCCGCCTCCACCGACATTCTCTCTGAGGCTCGGCTCTGCTCAGAGCCAGAGCTCTGGGCTCACTGGGCTCTGGGATTCTGAGTGCAGGATGCCGAGGTGCAGCAGGCCAAGGCATTGCTCCTGGAGCTGGAGGAGGCGCTCTCGGCTCTCTGCACGTCGAATCCCATCGCCGCGCGATGCTGTGTGTGCCAAGGAAGCACGGGCCGAAGCAGAGGCGGCACGACGAAGGGCAGCCGCTGAAGCAATAGAGGCAACTGCTCTGCAATCGCCAAGATTACGACTGTATCCAATGCCTCTGTAAAGCTCTTTTTTGCAATACATGTTTTGTTGCTTTTTGTGTGTAAGGCCTGCAGTGATTCAATTTGCTCCGGTTCCGCCATGTTTCGGTTCTCCTCTGTGCTCCTGCAGGCTGCTGTGGCCGAGGGAGACTGGGGCAAAATTGAGTCTGCCAGAACCTTACTTGCCTGAGCGTGGCAAGGCGAGAGCGCGTTTCACCCGGACAACCGTTGTTCAGTCAGTGACCCACCCGTGATCCGGTGGGAGCTATTTTGTTTGGTAGCCTTCTTCCATCCCGTCCATCCCTTTTCCACATTCAGGATCAGGAGTCCACTCGAGCCGCAAATACTGGGAGGATGTACAGGCAAGAGAGTTCTGCGGACCGTGGACACGACACTAAGGCAAGTGAGGGATTTCCAGGGCTCTGCGCGAAAGAGGGCCTTCGATGCAAGTCGTAGCAACGTCGTCGTAACGTAGCGTGTCGCAATTTCGATGCTGAGGCTTTGAGTGCTGGCTTGGAGCTAGGGCTTGCGGAGGCAAGGGCTTTGAGTTCGTGCAAGTTGACGCACGACCGTTCCCACTGGGAACGGTGCTCGGACGGTGCAGGAAGGAGCAGCAGTCCGAGCGGCACAGGCGAAGCTTGAGAGCCTTCGCGAGGCCCTTTGGGAACGACGAAGAGCCGAGCCGGTGTGCAAAGCCGCTGCAAAGCCGGTGCTGCATCCGCTCAGAGGCTCGGGAGCTGAAGGAGGCCGAAGGCGTCGCGGCGGAGGCCGAGGCTCGGCTCCTGGAGCTGCAGAAGAAGGAGCAGAGCCTGCTGGGAGCGAAGCACAAGAAGGAACGCTCCGCGAGCCTCGGCTGCGACAAGCAGCTGGAAGAGTGCTGGAAGTTGGGCTTTGGTAAGGATCGGGAAAGAGATGATGGCACTCCGGAACAGCGAAGCTTACATCTCGGAGCCTTGACACATTTAGATTTGCAAGCAGAAATGGCCGATGGCTGAAGAAGCTGAAGCTCGACATGTTGGCGTCGTGCTACCAAGGCAAGGAACTTCCTGAAGAACCCTGATCAGGCCCAGAGCCCAGGAGCTTGCTGCAGTGTTTGACTCTATCACAGAGTGTTGCAGGAGAGGAAGCGCAGACAAGAGCAAAGGTGGGCTCATTTCCATTTAGGTCGTCTTGGGTTGCTGTCGCAACTTTACACTCGTCGGCAAATCCTTGCCACTGCGTTGGAGCCACTTCGAACCATCTGCATGTATGACTTGAGAACGCTCCCACTCCCACCGGAACTGAGAATGTTGCTACCCGCCTCTGCTCAGATGAGAGATCGCCGGCTCTGTTTCCTCCCGATTGCTGCTTGGATGCTGACGTCGCTAAGGTCCTGTGACTCGTTCCACGGCAATTGAATGTCGGTGTGGCATGATGACCCTACGGCGCTCCGACACTTTAAGCTGCTGAGACACCCTTCTCAACCACCTTCGGGGTGAACCGGTGGTTGAGAGAGCCGATTCCACAGCCGGTGATGCATCGCCAGGGGCGGACACTGGACAAAGTGGCCTTCTGCATATTGCTCAGGGACTTTAGACGTCGCAGGAGTAGCGAGGACGATCATGAGCTCCCTCTACTGATGCCTCAGTGCGGATGGAGCTCCGACCGGAATCAACATGTTGCTAGCCGAGCTGCCCAAATGAGTGATGCGTCAGCTCGGTTTCGTCTTGGTTGTTGCGCTGATGCTGGCGTCAGTGACGTGAAGTTGAATGTCGGTGTGGCATGATGACCCTACGGCGCTCCGACACTTTAAGCTGCTGAGACACCCTTCTCAACCACCTTCGGGGTGAACCGGTGTTTGAGAGGGCCGATTCCACAGCCGGTGATGCATCGCCAGGGGCTGACACTGGACAAAGTGGCCTTCTGCATATTGCTCAGGGACTTTAGACGTCGCAGGAGTAGCGAGGACGATCATGAGCTCCCTCTACTGATGCCTCAGTGCGGATGGAGCTCCGACCGGAATCAACATGTTGCTAGCCGAGCTGCCCAAATGAGTGATGCGTCAGCTCGGTTTCGTTTTGGTTGTTGCGCTGATGCTGGCGTCAGTGACGTGAAATTGAATGTCGGTGTGGCATGATGACCCTACGGCGCTCCGACACTTTAAGCTGCTGAGACACCCTTCTCAACCACCTTCGGGGTGAACCGGTGGTTGAGAGAGCCGATTCCACAGCCGGTGATGCATCGCCAGGGGCGGACACTGGACAAAGTGGCCTTCTGCATATTGCTCAGGGACTTTAGACGTCGCAGGAGTAGCGAGGACGATCATGAGCTCCCTCTACTGATGCCTCAGTGCGGATGGAGCTCCGACCGGAATCAACATGTTGCTAGCCGAGCTGCCCAAATGAGTGATGCGTCAGCTCGGTTTCGTCTTGGTTGTTGCGCTGATGCTGGCGTCAGTGACGTGAAGTTGAATGTCGGTGTGGCATGATGACCCTCGGGCGCTCCGACACTTTAAGCTGCTGAGACACCCTTCTCAACCGCCTTCGGGGTGAACCGGTGTTTGAGAGGGCCGATTCCGCAGCCGGTGATGCATCGCCAGGGGCTGACACTGGACAAAGTGGCCTTCTGCATATTGCTCAGGGACTGTAGACGTCGCAGGAGTAGCGAGGACGATCATGAGCTCCCTCTACTGATGCCTCAGTGCGGATAGAGCTCCGACCGGAATCAACATGTTGCTAGCCGAGCTGCCCAAATGAGTGATGCGTCAGCTCGGTTTCGTCTTGGTTGTTGCGTTGATGCTGGCGTCGGTGACGTGAAGTTGAATGTCGGTGTGGCATGATGACCCTACGGCGCTCCGACACTTTAAGCTGCTGAGACACCCTTCTCAACCGCCTTCGGGGTGAACCGGTGTTTGAGAGGGCCGATTCCACAGCCGGTGATGCATCGCCAGAGGCTGACACTGGACAAAGTGTTCTTCTGCATATTGCTCAGGGACTTTAGACGTCGCAGGAGTAGCGAGGACGATCATGAGCTCCCTCTACTGATGCCTCAGTGCGGATAGAGCTCCGACCGGAATCAACATGCTGCTAGCCGAGCTGCCCAAATGAGTGATGCGTCAGCTCGGTTTCGTCTAGGTTGTTGCGCTGATGCTGGCGTCGGTGACGTGAAGTTGAATGTCGGTGTGGCATGATGACCCTACGGCGCTCCGACACTTTAAGCTGCTGAGACACCCTTCTCAACCACCTTCGGGGTGAACCGGTGGTTGAGAGGGCCGATTCCACAGCCGGTGATGCATCGCCAGGGGCTGACACTGGACAACGTGGCCTTCTGCATATTGCTCAGGGACTTTAGACGTCGCAGGAGTAGCGAGGACGATCATGAGCTCCCTCTACTGATGCGTCGGTGTGGATAGAGCTCCGACCGGAATCAACATGTTGCTAGCCGGACTGCCCAAATGAGTGATGTGTCAGCTCGGTTTCGTCTTGGTTGTTGCGTTGATGCTGGCGTGTGACGTGGTGTCGGTGTGGCGTGATGACCCTACGGCGCTCCGACACTTTAAGCTGCTGAGACACCCTTCTCAACCACCTTCGGGGTGAACCGGTGGTTGAGAGGGCCGATTCCACAGCCGGTGATGCATCGCCAGGGGCTGACACTGGACAACGTGGCCTTCTGCATATTGCTCAGGGACTTTAGACGTCGCAGGAGTAGCGAGGACGATCATGAGCTCCCTCTACTGATGCCTCGGTGCGGATAGAGCTCCGACCGGAATCAACATGTTGCTAGCCGAGCTGCCAAAATGAGTGATCCGTCAGCTCGGTTTCGTCTAGGTTGTGCGTTGATGCTGGCGTCGGTGACGTGAAGTTGAACGTCGGTGTGGCATGATGACCCTACGGCGCTCCGACACTTTAAGCTGCTGAGACACCCTTCTCAACCACCTTCGGGGTGAACCGGTGGTTGAGAGGGCCGATTCCACAGCCGGTGATGCATCGCCAGGGGCTGACACTGGACAAAGTGGCCTTCTGCATATTGCTCAGGGACTTTAGACGTCGCAGGAGTAGCGAGGACGATCATGAGCTCCCTCTACTGATGCGTCGGTGTGGATAGAGCTCCGACCGGAATCAACATGTTGCTAGCCGGACTGCCCAAATGAGTGATGTGTCAGCTCGGTTTCGTCTTGGTTGTTGCGTTGATGCTAGTGTTGGTGTCGGTGTGGCATGATGACCCTACGGCGCTCCGACACTTTAAGCTGCTGAGACACCCTTCTCAACCACCTTCGGGGTGAACCGGTGGTTGAGAGGGCCGATTTCACAGCCGGTGATGCATCGCCAGGGGCTGACACTGTGAGGTTCCGCTTCTTGCACTCCGTGAGATTGTGCTGAAGCATCATTGGACCCGACTCATGTCAATGAGCGGACCTTCTCGGGCGCTCAGTTTGGCCAAATCTGACACCGGACAAAGTAGCCTGTTGCATGTTGCGTTGCCACATTGACATGATCTGGTTTCGGCAGTACCGTGCCACCCGCATGTCGATGAAACCGGGAGCCATCATGCTTTCAGCCTTCACTCACGAGGTCTGCACACCGAAGATGTGTGCAGTGCTCGGTGGAATATGTCCAGTCCCCCCCATTGAGCTGCAGGGTGGAGATCGAGAAGCGAGCTGCAGTTGAGCGGGAGCGTCGCAGGCAGGCTTGCGGCGCATCCGAAGAGGGTCGCCTCAAGTTGCGAAACAAAAATGTCGCGCTTACATGTCACGTAAGATGGGCGAGACTGTTCTGCCACGGTCCTTACAATTCTAGCGCAAGCCTCGGCATCGAAAGGCATCGTTTAAAATCCAAAGTCAAACGTAGACCCTGAGAGAGTGGCTCTCCAGCTAAAGGGCTTGGCTAAGGGTCTGGCCAACGGCGAACCCGAGCAGGTTAAGAACTGCACAAGCTCCGGCAGAGCTCCTCGCAGCCATCCAGGCTTGAGGTGAGCCGACGCTTGTGTGAGTGCAGTGTCAATGCCACACCAGGCCTTAGACGAGGACGCTGTGCGGGCACTGCTTATCGAAGCCTGCACCTCTGACTTTCCGCCGCGATTGCAGACTGCCGCGGCATGCGCAGGTTGTCGGTGAGTGTTGCGCTGTTGGGTAAACACTCGTCGTGGTTTGGCTGCTTCCGGACTCCAGCAGCTTCATTCCTGAAAGGCTGTACTTGCTCCGCCCGATGCCTCCATTGCAGAGGGTTTTCTAGCTGAGCCCGGAACTGAATCGAGGACCGGTTGAAGCAGCGGAGGGCACTGAGCCCGTGTCGTCCGAAGTCTTCAGGTCTGAGGAAAGAAGGACCCGAGCGGAGCGGGATGGAGCCTTGCTTGAGCTGGGGCCCCAGAACACGAGAGCCACGGCATGTGCACTGTGCAGTCCTGTCGTCAGATTCGGCTTCCCCGACCTCGATCGACGAGCCTCCTCCTGAGTTCGTTTACGACATTTTCGGATCGAGGAGAGCAACTGCCGAAAGAGCGAGTCCTGCAAGAGGCGTTCTTCCAGGCTTCGGTCGCCGTGGCATCCTTCCTCACGGACCAGTGCCCTCGAATTTTTGCGTTCCCGGAGGCTTAGGATTTGCAGTCATCGGTTGGGCCGCCGCTGCCACGCTTAACCTTTTCGGCTCGGTCACTTGACACGAAGAAGTAAAGTGAGAAGCATTGAAGCATGTCGAAGCCCGTCGAAGCCTCGTAGCTTGAAGGAGATTTTGGATCACTGAGCTCATACCGAAGAGGAAGCCACGCAGCTAGCTGCCAGCTTAAACTCTGAGCAATGCTGGCCATGATAGTGCTGGGTCTGCTGTGGGCTCCCCTCTTGGCTGGGACGGCGGCCAGTGACGGTGCATGTGACCTGTCGCCGTGGCTACAGGAAGAGCCGGTCGATAAGGGATACCATGTCATTTGTGTTGGGGACGGCGAGGGCGCCGTCTACCTTAATGCGCTGGTGGCCTCTCGGAGTGTGCTGAAATTTGACGATGGCCTCCCGGAACGCCTAGAAGAGTTGCTGCAGATCAAGACGCACCTAGGTTTCAAACCGCACTCCAAAAGACCTTCGGCTCCGGTGCGATGGCAGAAGCAAAGCTGGGCCTTCTTTACCGAGGTCGGAGAGCGCTGGACCCCAGAGGAGGCCCCTTTCAAGATCTCCACTTACCGGGGCGTCCTGCTTGTCTTCGAAGGCGGGACATGGCGATGGCCCGGCGTCCGTGTAGGTTATGAGCGACTTCTGCAGCCAGACGTAATCTTGAGAACAGTGGCTCTCAAGCCCGCTTTGTTCGAGCTAGTCCTGCAGGATGCATCCAAAGGTTCAATCCCAGAGATGCTTTCGGATGTCGTGCAAATGTCAGAAAAGCGGCTGCAGCGTTCCCTGACGGAAGAAGAAGCCTCAGAGGTTCGAACCAGCCAGCAGCACTGGCTGAGCTACAACTCGCACCCGAAGCTGAAAGAACTCAAGAAGTTTACCTCAGAAGTCCTTCGGTTGCCTAGCTCTTACTTCGAAAGGGACTTACAGGTATTGCGTTACACTAAAGGGCAGCTTTATGATGCCCACCGCGACTACTGGGATCCTCGGGAGTTCCCGGACGCGGAGCGGTTTGTGCACCCTGTTTCCAAAACCTGGAACATGCGCTTCGCCACGCTGCTGTGGTACCTCCGTGATGCAGCGCGTGGAGGCGAGACATGGTTCCCCAGGGCGCATGGTGGCCCGATCCCTTACGGCGAGTGGACAGCCTGCGATGAACGGGGCGTCAAGATGTCTGGAAGGAACGGCACAGTTGCGATCCTGTTCTACTCGTTGTACTCTAGCGGGGACATCGACACCTATAGCTGGCACTGTGGCTGTCCCGTGGGAGAAGGGACGAAATGGGCAGCAAATAGTTGGATCTGGAATCAGCCACAGAGCCCACCCTACGCAAAGAGCAGGGCTGGACGCTCGGTCGTAGAATTCATCCGCGACGAGCTCTAAAAAAGCGAAGATCAAGATGAATTGAAGTGGGCAAGTCTTGTGAGGGCCCATGGCTTCTTGCAGCATTGCATCCTGCCGTGGCTGTGTTGGTCTTTGGCAATCTTGTCATCCACCGTGATGGTTCGGTGTAGGCACATACTCTTCGGATCTCCACGTGATGTCGGCAGCGGCTTCCCAGTTACCCCATGAACCTGCGTGATCTTGTAAGCACCGCAGTGAAAGGTACTGCATGCACGAGGGCAGCGATTTCAAGCTGAAGGCGCCTCAGTGGGCCCCGGCCCGGCTCATGGAAGATTGCAACGTCATTGTCGGCTGGGACAGGTCATCAAGGCGGCCAACTCCGTTTTGGTGACCTTCAGAAGCGCTGAATATGCGCAGGACGGATATACAAGCGGAGATGGCTGCGGTGAATCGAGAACACTCGCGTCTTGCACATGTAGAGGCCGTGCGAGAGACGACTGTTGACTTAGCCAAGCAGCCTCGGCCTCGTGTGGGGTCACAGAGCCGTTCGCCCCGGCGGCCGGCGGCCCACGCCTGAGGCTCGAGGGCAGCAGCAGCGCGGGGGACTCGGACACTCGTCGGACTCGTCGGTCTCGCGGGCGGCGCCAAGCCCAGCCCAGCTGAGGCGCTGCTGCGAGCAGAGCTCCGCAGCTCCCATGGCCCCTTCAGCGCAGAAGCCGAGGAGTTCCTCTCCAGACTTCGGCAGGATGCCGAGGACCCGAGCAGAAGACATAAGCAGGGGGAGGTCTTCGAAAAGCTTAAGGACGTCTTAGTCTTAAGGACGCGCCTGGTGCCTGAGGAGTTTAAGCGATCTTGCCTCTTAGAGCTTGTCCGTCTCGGGCAGGCGCTGCGCGAGAAGCCTCTGCGGGCTGAGCCACGCCAGCACGCTTTGTTCATCTGCGCAAAGAACGCACCCTCCCGCGGTACCAGGTGCGAGGAAGCAGTGCGGAGTGCCGCCGCGCGTGCTCGCGGGGAACTGCCGAGCACGCGGACGTGGCGGACTCGGGACTCCTCGGGACCGCAGGCACAGCGCCGCTCAGCGATCCTTTGAGCTGAGGACGGGGCCTGGCCCTCTTTCTCGGGCTTCCACGGAGGGTCCGGCCTGGAACTCGAGTCCCGGGCGCCGTCAGCAAGCATCGGCTGTCGCCAGATTACTGCTCAGGCTGTGACGGCAGGTGCAAAGGAGTGGTTGCTGCTGCAACGGATTCGCACCAGATACAGCAAGAGACTGGCGAGACGGGCAATCCGCACTTGACAGGAGCAGCAGCCGCAGCAGCAGCATCATCCTCCACCTGCCCCAATGCCGCGGCCCGAAACTTCAGAGCAGCAAGTCCAAGTGGCTAACTTAGAACGCGCCTCTAGCATGAGTTTTTTGCATGCATCTACATGAGTTTTTTTAAGCATGCATCCTGCACCGGAGGCCTGATCAACAGCTTCACATCTCAGGCCGGCCCGGGTGCTGCTTCTCACATCTTTTCACCAGATCCGGTCGCCTGTGTAGGAGGCGGAAGTCTACCGAGTCGAACCTCGACGGTGGGAGCCTATGGCAGCAAAGGACTGGAACTGGAACCATTGCTTCCGTCTTCAACAGCAAACCAGCAGCCGGACAGGAAAAGCAGGTGGCAAAGCTTCACCAGGTGCATGCCATGCCCTGCCTGGCCATGCCTAATGTCTGTTGCGCTTTGGAGGTGTCGGAAGCTGTAAAGGTTGTGTAGGATTCCAGATGAGCTTTCAAAACGCAAGCCAAAAGGAGCGTGGTGTCTGGTGTTTTTGGCTGCCAACAAGATGGGTGATTAACCACTGTTACTGATAATTATTCTCTCACATGGACATGCGGTGCCTTGTAGCTGAGTCACTTGAGTGAACGTGTGACAGAGGCGCCGGTGCTCCGAAGGACGACGTGCGCCACAGAGATTGAAGGATGCTCAGGAGTATCGCGTGCGAGATGCTGGGAGCTTGCGCCTTGAGGTGCTGGTGCTTCCGCGAGGCGCAGCTTTTGAGCTCCAACGAGACACAGCTGCTGCCCCAGCCGAGAGCTGCAAGTCCTCTCTAAACCTGCTGAATCAATAACTTGCGCTCCGGATTGAGGGAGGCCTGCATGGCTTGAAGACATGGACGGACACATCCGCAAACACGAGGCGAGGGCAAAGACCTTCCGAGACGACCTCAGGTGCCCCTTTGCATTCGGTTTGTTCGCTCGGACGGCCATTCGGCCATTCCGATTTCTGCAGGACCTTCGCGCGAAACTTCCGCATCCAAGCCGAGCTTGTTGGCTTGGACAAGGTCCAGATGAAGCCCATTGGCAACTGCCTGAGAATGTGATGATCTGTGAAGGCTCAAGCTTGGATGTTGAAAACGCCCAGGCTTCGTCCACCAAGACACAAGAGAAAAAGCTCGAGCTGAGCAGCGAGCTGAGATTTTGGCACCCACTTGGCTGACTCTTCACGGTTTAGGGTTCAGGGTTTAGGGCTGAGGCTCCAAAACCTTCTCAACTACCACTTCCCTGGGCTGGGAGCTCAGGCTTCCAATCATCTCTCTGCCTGCTTAAGTGCTTAAGCTTCTCCCAGGTCCGCCGCTTCCAGAGAGCGTCGGCCTCAGCGACACGCTTTGCTTGTTTGGAAGAAGCGGCCGAACGCTGCTGAAGGCGGGAGGTGCGGCTTCGAGTCGCCGAGTCTCCACCTCGGAGACATCTTCCGCACAACACGGAACAAACAGGGGGCTACTTGTTATGCCCCGAAGGGGAAGTAAGGTAAGGAGACATTATTTACACCTTGGGTTATGGCAGGAAGTTTGAGGGTCTCAGAGCAATTCAGACCCCGTCTCTTTGGGTGCTGAGGTCAGGAGCCGGTATCGACCTGACGCCCAGCGACCGCGGGTTTCAGGTCGACCACGTGGAGGAGTCCCGAGTTCGCGGAGTCTGCTTCGTTTGAAATCGTTAAGTCCTGTTCCGCCAGGACTTCCCCGGACAGGACTTTGCGGCTGGGGAAGCGGGGGCCCCTTTTCCAAGTCCGCTTGGCTTCCAGTGTTGGACCTGCGAGGTCATCCTGGCCATCAACGGCCAGAAGCTCTCTGGTCTCTCTGAAGACGAAGTCGCCGCATCCTGAGCTGTTGGCCAAATGCTGCATAGTTCTGCCTGGAGCCCGAGGAAGAGACTTTCGGAGCTCACTTTGGGGACGGTGCCACCCCCGCAAGCCCGTGAACAGAGCCGAAACTCATGCATCCGTGCGCAATTCGAGGTGCTGTCCTCATGATTGGAAGAGCCTGAGTGCCATCCTTACACGGGAATCTTGCGTGACAATCGTGCTTCCTGGATTTTTTTGGCAGTTGTGAAGATGAGGAGGCTGCAGCCTGCTTTATGAGATGCTTCCCTCACCTAGGCCGCGATTGCTGATATGAGCAGTTTGTGTGTCTGGATAGAGCTGCCATCTTTGGCTCTGCTCCTGGAGCTCGGTTGTCGCATTGTCCTAGCCACACGATGTACATAGTCGCTTGACGTCAGGATCGAAGACTCGATTTTTCAGTTTCACCTTGTCTCAAGAGCTTCGGAGCTCTGTTGACGTTGAAACCTGCCGTACGCTGTACCTGCGATGCACCTGGCACCTTACCCCTTTCTCTGGTGCATGGATTACCGGCATTCTGCATTCACCCTCACTCAAGCATTTTGCTTTCACCATTTCACCAAGCCACAAAAGTCTGACGAGCAATACAATGATGGTCAGGTTCGCAGATGCCGCCATGGTCATCTTGAGCTCCCTAGAACAGTCACAGTAACATTGGCCATGTACTGTGCGATACAGCCAACTCAGCTATCTTTCATTTTTCCCTGTCGGGACACGTCCAGCTTCTTGGGCCTGCTGCGTCTCCAAGCGCACAAGGCACTTCGCATATGCCCGATGCTGTGTAACGGGGTGCCTTGGGCGAGTGCTTGGTATGCGGAGGCCACGGGCCATGGAAGCACCGAGTGGATATCCGGATGTCCCACCTTCGCGCCCGTCTGCCGCCGCCGGCCGGGATCTTCAGAATTTGTCCCCTGCGTCTTTGTCCAGCCATGTGACATGCTCCAAGTGCAGCAGGCATGGCCGCTGCGGACCCTGCGCTTGGCTTAAAGTTTAAAGTGTGGAGGATCCCGGTTGTAGAATGCCTGCACTGCTGAGGCATTGGGGATGGCAGCCATCATGGAAAATCAGGTTCTCGAAGCCCCCAGCTGTTCCAGTCCTCACCGATTCCGTTTGACATGGACAGGTGGAAGAAATGCGCAAGCTGCTCAGCAGATTCAAGGTGCCTTAGGCCAGGTTTCTTGAGAGATTATCCTGCCAAAGACATGTCAGGTATGTGCAAACCCGGCAGCTGCAGGGGTCGGAGCAGACGTGGACGCAGGCTGCCAGCTTCACTGGAAGCGAGCTCTGCTATTTGCTGCTGTAGGGAGCCATGCTGAACACGAGTAGATGTGAGAGTTCAATTCTAGTAAGCAGGACCTATAGGAGTCCGGCAACAATGGGTCCATACGATTCGCGGCATGACTACAGCCCTTGGTATATTGAGCAGTAGCATGGCAAGCGCAGAGATCTGAAGGGCTGCTTGCAAGGGCCTTCCATCTTGTTGTGGCAGCCCTTCAAACCTGAACAGAGCCGGGTACGGACCATCGTTGTGACTGTGCCTGCCTGTTTCATGCGAGCCTCTCCAGGTGCCCTTCCAGGGCATGCAGACATCCTGATCTTTGGGCCCAGTGGAAGGTGGGACTGAATGTCATTGCCCCAATCTGCTTCTCATTCCTTTCTGTGCCAGTGGGAAGAGCAGCCTTATCCGCACCTTCTACATGGCGCTGCACAAGACGCAGCAGGCACATCCGGGCTTGGGCAGCGTCGCATGAGGCGGCCTGACTGCCAGGTTCCTGCCGACTTTGCGGACAGGCCTCCACACAGATCGTGCGGGCATTTCTGCATGTTCGCTCACTGTGGACTGTGGACTTCATGGGCATTGGGCGGCCTCTTTGTGACCAGGATAATTGTCAAGGACACAGCCATGAACGAAGGCACTCTCAAATACATTTCTGCCGCAGATGCCCCAGATTGAACATGGAAGCCAGGGAAAGTGCCTCAAGTGGATGTGAGGTCATCAAGCCGGCGAAATTAGACCACCGAGGTAACATCCTCTCGCCACGGGCTTGGAAGCATCGACATGATTCTGAAATTTTTCACTGCAAGCCACCTTATGGGTTACTTTCCAGGTCCTCCATCTTGTGCCACGACACTCGCGGCCAGATTTGGATGGACGAGCCCCGGCATAGAAGAGACGGGGAAGTGATGGGAAAGGCATCAGTTGGACGTCTGTGCTTGTCAGTTTGCGGCTGTAGTCCAAGCATGCTGGGTTGTCGAGGAACGAGAGCAGAAGCAGCTCAGCGTCATCATGGTTACTTCCCCATTTCATCTGCTGCACCGTTCGCATCGCCGCTTCTTCTGTCCGGGTCTTCTTTTTTACAGGACGGGAATGTGAAGGATGACTCCATGGTGCAGCAACGAAATTACAGGCGATGCGTACAGAGACGGAAGGCCCTCGTGCAATGTGTGTCTCTCTCCCGTCTTTGGTCGGGCAGGTATGCGAGATTGCTCTGGGAATTCTGGAAGCGAGACTCCGAGCTCTTCCCTCCCGAGGTGCTCGGAGCTTGTGCCAAGCCCACGCCACCTTCACAGAACGCCTGTCTTTGTTCAAGATCCTGGCCAACAAGCGGGGTGTCCACAACCAGCCCCACGCCGTCTCGGTCTCTGGGTCGAGGTTGACGTAGGCCCGTCTCACAGCTTGCCCATCCAGGTTCTCTTTGTCTTCGATGGGTCCATGGAGGAGATACCGGATGGGGAAGAGGCCAGGAAGCCTGGCCAGCCTGGCAGCATACACAAAGATGTGGCCGTCCCGTCTGCGTCCTTGCTCTCCGCCAGGAGACAAAGTTCTACAGGGAGATCATCCAAATGTGCCGCGAGAAAGGCTACACCAACCCCCAGGCCTCCAAGCATTGTGCAGAGGTGGACATGCCCTGTCTTGCTATATGTGTCCCGCTGAACATCTGCATGATGGTTGGCAATAGATGGAGGGAAGAGAAAAATCAGTCGATGCAGCATGCACGACACCGAAAGCTTGACTCAATAGCAAGCTGTTCTGCCCAGGAGCTTTTCATTATAGGACAGGAAAGCATCCGAGCTCCCAGGGTCGAATATGAGCCCACACGAGGCATAGCCATGGATGCATGGGATCCCCTCGCAGATCCGGCTGATGTTGACACACCGAGCAAGTCGGACCCGACAAAGGTGAGTGCTTCAGATGGCCTGGGCCTTAAGTTCTTGATATCTGCTTCGTCGAACAATATGGCAACACTGTGGGATTCTTACGTTCAGGAGTAAAGAGACGGGGTTCGCCCGTCCCACAGTGCTGCAGCGCTGATGGCGGACCAACATCGCAAATTGCAGAGACTCTCCGGAGCGGAGGTTGTCACAGAAACTATACTATAGGACTGTCGTGCTCTCACACTGCATAGCCTTTGCTCGCACCACGCAGAAGCGCTGCTCCAGTTGGATCTCAAGTCACTCCGGGCATACTGTTCTGCTTCTCGGGTGGTTGGATGTGGCTGCCCCGTCGCAGCCGCACTCGGAATTTCCAACATCGGAACTCTGCCCGTCGTGCCGTGCCGCACGTTTCTTGCAGGAGGGTTCCCGCTTTTTTGGCTCTTGACGCTCCTGCCACAGTCCCCTGTGTTACATCTTTGTCGTTGGGACGGAATGGCTTGTGGCCTGCATGGCTTGGAGTGCTACTGCAGGTGGCTTTTCACTGTCAGGGGTTTACGCCGACACAGTTATACTGTTTTGAAGAGAAGGAGCCTTTTGTGTTTCTGCGTTACCAAAATGCTGTCAGTCCGAGGTGACTGTAGTGCGGTGGATGATGCCTCGATGTTGGCTATTGCTGGTCCCTTGGGTCGTGAGGCTGGACTGGGTGTTCTTCGGTATCCAGGCCACCAGGCCGCTGTCTCCAGGCGGTGTTGTCTTCGACCCGCATGCGAGACGTCGAGGACTGGATCTCGCAGGCTGAGGCGCGAGACAGAAGCACACTCAAGCACGCTGATCATTCAATTTCCAGGCAATTCCTTGCCTCGCAGACCCCCGCGCGTCTCTCGTCGATCTTTGGGCTCTGTGCAGGCCAGTGGCCTCGACGCAGAGCAGATCCTTCCAGCAAGGCTGGGCGGCTGGCCGGTCGCGCTGCTCCCAAATGCGCAGAATTCTTTCTAAAGCCGCCCGCAGGCAACACCTGAGGTCCTTGGCCGTGGCCTGACTGCGAGTGCCGGACGTGCAAATCCTTTGCCGGCACGAGGCCAAGCAGAATCCGACGATCCACTGGGAAAAGCGAGAGAGCCAAGCAACGGCAGAAGTGGATGGCACAAAGGCTCCCGAAGGCTCGCGCAGCTTCTATAAAAATTGGCTTAGAGCTTAGTGAAGGCTGGCGAGGCCGAAGCACGTCTGCAAGATGCTGAGCGGCAGGCAGGGATTCAATCCGACAGGAACTGATGCGCATGCTAAGCGTTGCCATATGTTGCCGAGTACAAGGGCTCGCGGCTCACATGCAAAAGCTTACATTTTATGGGTTCACCCCCAGGGCCCCAGCCCGGCTGGTCCGGCATCTTGTGGGATCCCAATTCCAGGTTTTTGCAAAGGATATCGGATACATCTCTTCGAGTGGCTTCGTTGCGTTTCGGTGGGGTTTGAGATGCAGTGATAGCCGAAGCTTCCGCAAGGTGAACTTGCTGCTCAGTGACAAGTCGGAGTCTGCAGCAGGCTTGCTTGACTCCCACGGCGTCCAACTCTAGCCGCTACCGTTTGCTGCGCAGGAAACGCCATGCAGGACGCCACAGAACAGCTCAAGGCCAGCCTTCTGCACGTCTGCGGCCGTTTCTGTCCTTGCAGTCGCAGGAAGCCATAGCAGAGGGCTACAGTGCCGGGGCGATGCTGCCACGGTTTGCATAGGGCAACATTTCGAAGCGTGCACTGCTGCTGTCATGCTGCAAATGGAAGTTGCACTACGTTGCACAGCTGTTAGGCCTGCTTGGCTCAAGTTGGGGCTTGCAAGGGAAAGCCTTACCGGCCTCGCGTCCAAGATGGAGAGTGGACTGAGTGAATGCTTCAAGGGGGCCAGGGAAAGGCACTCGTGTCCCTCGGAAAGGCATTGAAGGTATGCAAAGAGGCAGCTTTGTGGCAACAGTCCCTCTTGCATCTTCAAGAATTCCGGAGACTTCACGAACCGGATGCCGCTGCACTCGATGCCGCGACGATCGCTTGTAGCCGAAGAAACCGGTGGGATCTGGCTGTCTTCCTGTTGCGGCAGCGCTGGGAGATTGAGGGGCCGTCATGGAAGTCCGCTTTCAATCCTGGCTGTGGAGCCAGCATCAGTGCTTGCGCCCGTGCGGGACACTGGGACCTGGCGTTGGCCTTGTTCGCGGAGGCCAGAGTCAGGCCGGGGGCGTTGCTTAGAACAGGAGGGGCCAAAGACAGTGAGAGGTCCACTTGCTAAGTCACCAAGTCATGCCAGCTCTTGTCTGGAGGCGGCAGCCCATCTCCGACTGGAGCTGCAGTGCCGCCATTAGCGCCTGCATGAAAATCGCCTCCTGGAGCAGGGCCTTGCTCATCCTTCAGGAGGTGCCAGAAGCCCACAGAGAAGGCCAGGCCCCGCAACCCTCTCTAAGCGTAGCTGCAGCTACCGCATAGCTTCAAGCAGGCACCTGCAGGCACGTAGTTAGCCCGGCGGGTCTTCAGCACCCCTCCTTCCAGACTGTGGCAAGGCTACAATGCAGCAGTTGCAGTCTGCGCCGAGGGTCGTCAGTGGCAGCGGGCTCTTCGCCTGTTGGAGGACATGAAGCGACTAGCATTGAGGCCTGATGTGTTCACTTACAGCTCCGCTGTAGCCGCTTGCCGGTTTTCTTGGGAGATGGCTGGCTTGATCTTGGACGAGATGGACATTGCCCCGAATATTTTGACATATTGCTCAGTCATGAGCTCTTATGTGAGAGCTTGGCAGTGGCAGCGAGCCCTTAACATTTTTGCCAGGCTTGCACGCATTCATCGCCCGAATGCGGTTGCCTACACTTGCGCATTCCAGGCTCTGGACTTAGCGGGCCCGGAATGGAAAGACGGGGCTTCGCAACTGGTGGACAGCATGCAGCACGACTACCGGCAGCCAGTCGATGTTGTGAGCTACAGTGCTGCACAGCAGGTCCTAAGCCACGCCGAGATTCCCATGGCCGAGCGCACGTTTCAGCGGGAGATCTTTGAACCCGCTGTTCTCGAGCTTGAAAAGCTGAGAACTTTCGGCGTTTCAGCGCCAAATCCTGGCGTCAAGCCACCGGACATGGGCGGATTCTCCAGAGGAATGCTAGAGGCACTTGACGCGCGGAAGCTTTCTTAGAAGCGCAGGAAAGTCGCTGCGGGGTGCTAGAATACAGGAAGGTGGCCGAAGCAGGGATCCACGCACACTTGTCAGGTGGACCTCAAGCAACTCATCACATCGTGCGCAACTGAGACACGAGGGCCTCCCAAGAGAGAAAAAGGGGCCCCTGGACCGGCATTGAGGCGGCGAGTTCTGAGCCAGTTGCAGCCGAAGCCCAAGCAGGTTGAGTCGCTGCCCCAGCGAGAGACGCCGAAGGGTCATCCGTTGCCCTTCCTCCATTCTCGATGCGAGGCCGGACAGGCCGGAGACCAAGCAAGCGCTGGCCAAGGCCATGCTTCAAGCCATCAAGGACCGGGAGCCCCTCGCCATGAGCCCACATTTCACCGTTTCCCCAAATTTGTGCATCTTGGTGCGCTCTTCCAGGACAAGGACGCCGTGGAGCTCCGACGTGTTCTGGATGCTGCTGTAGAGGCGGAGGTGAAGCTCCCGGGCCTGGAGGCAGCGCCGCGCGACAGCGCCGGAAGTATGTAGGGCCCGTCCGCGCGCGTCGCAGGCGGCCCGCAGGAAGCTTGCAGAATGGAGGACGGCTTCACCAGAAGACTCGGAAGAGCGTTCTGGAAGGACACTCCGCATCTTTGCAGGGCTCGGCTTCTCTGGCCGTGCCGCTCTAAACTCTATGTGTGCCAGGACTGCAGAGACTCTGCGTCTGCGGATCATTCTGCCAGATGGAAGGCCAGGTCGGCTGGGTAGCGGCTGTGACGACTGGAGAGTCCTCGTCGCTTGATTTAAGTCTCGGCGCTCAGGAGAGGATGGCTTCCTGTTGATCCTGAGGACCACGGCAGCAAGGTGCTGGGCAGCTTGCCGCAGGACGGCAAGATCTCGTTTGTTGCTCCATCAGCTGGAGCGAGTCTATGGTAGGAGCTGGCGAGTGGCGACATGCACTTCTTCCTTGGATTGGAGGCCCTTAATTGTACTTGTAGCGTCTTGTAGTGCCAGCCGTACGTACAGTCGGGAGCATGCGGAAGGCGTCGCCGAAGGGTGCGGTGACTCTTCTCGAGGAGGTGGTGTTTTCCCTCGACAGGCCACAGCCGCATGTCTCCGAGTATGCCCTTAGCAGTTAGCACAGCAAGTCCGTCGATGCAGGAAGCTCGGTGACCAGCCGAAGTTCCTTGCTCAGGCTTCGGTTGTGTTGCAATGCGGACAGATCTGAGACTTGGGCTGCACATGTGATGCGCAGGGTGCAGCTCTCTGTGTTTGTCCCGGTCAGAGGAGATCGCTTTTGTACCGTGTGCCTCCTCCTTGTTTTGTGCTCAGTTGGAGGAGCTCTTCGGAGTCTGTGGAGGCTCCGTGCCACGCTTGAAGAAATCGGCCGTCAGCAATGATGTTTTGCAGCTGGAGGACAGGCCATCCGATCCCACCAGCCCACTTTGGCAGAGCGTCTGGAACTCACTCGCGCGGATTCAGCAACGTGTCGAATGCCGCGAAGTGTAGACTGTAGACACTGCACAGACAGAGCCAGAGAGAGAGCGAGAGGATGGAGCATGTCCTGCCTCTGGGTAGGCGACTGGACAAGACAGGCCTTGTTGTCGACAGCAGGGTGTGCTAGAAGGGGTAGCTACCTCCTCTTCTACCCTTCTGAGAGAGAGAGAGAGAGAGAGAGAGAGAGAGAGAGAGAGAGAGAGAGAGAGAGAGAGCGGCTACCATTTTGGCTCACGTCGACCCGCCGCTTCCCCCTTGGTGGGCGCTCGAGCGCGGCCCTTCGGGCCTGCTGCTGGGAGCAGCAGCTCTGTCGGGTGGACGTCCCTTAGAGCGGGGGAAGGCTTGAGCCTTCGCTGAAGCCGCAGGCTCACAGTGGCCCCTCGCGCTCCCCTACCTGGCGCTTGGTGCCACAAGAAGAGCGCGCCCCGCTCCCGGGAGTACGTGACAGCCTCGATTCCGCGCGCAAGATCTACCGCGATCGTGACAGTGGCAGGGAAATCGGAAACCGTGAATAAAACGTTTGCCCGCGCGATGACGGATGCGACAATGGTCACCGAACCGAAGGCGGGGCACCCCTGGGAAAATCCTTCTATGCTTCAGGTGCTGCAATGGACCCTCGTATCATGGGGGACACCGCAGAGATGACCCGGACTGTGTGCTACATGCTTGTGACAGAGGGGATCCCAAACAAATCCAAGCTTTCCTCAAGCAGCGGAAGATAGACAAAGCAGTGCAGAAAGCCCTTAAAGAAGGCACAACACCGACCTTTATACCGAGGAGCTCTGCACCCGCCAGTGTAGGAGACAGCCGTCTGGGGGAGACCCCGAAAGTGACCGCTCCCCTTTGTCGACGATGCCTTACTGTCGATGTCTTTGATGACTACGACCCTCGTCCAAGAAACTGAAGGGGAAGAAGCCCCCGCTACCAAGCCAAAGACGACCAAGAAGCCACTGATGATGATGGCATAGGCCGCCATGCTCCTGCTTCGCCCACCGGGGAACAGCGGGCTCTCATTGATCGACAGCATAACCGTCTTTACCAACTACTCAAGCCCCTTTACAACTTGGACCAGTACCATACGGACCAGGAGAAGTGGCGCGCCTATAGAAAGGCTACCAACGACAGCACAGATCGTGGAAGCCAGATTCAGAACGGTGGGCCAAGAAGCGGGCGACGCAGTGAGCAGCAGAAGAGAGGCCTGCATGTTTCAGTTGACTTCAATCAGCACAACTTTTCTCTCCAACTTCGCTACATTGCTGACGGAACCGCCTTTGTCAACGTTTTCCAATGGCTTTCACGGGCTGCTGGCGCCTTCCAAAATCATCGAAACCTCGCCCCATCTCTGGGGTCCTCTACAATACCGCATGTACATTATTGATTCCCTGGCCGGTCACCCTTTTTGCTTTGAGCCTTGTGCTTTTGTACTGCGGTTGTTGCCGCCACAGTGGGCCACACAACTGGCAAATTACCGCTGTGCTCTTCACTGCTGCACCCCATGCCCAGGCTGATGTGGGCTTTGTAGCAGTGGTTGTGTAAAAGGGCCACTCAGTTTGCCGTTGACAGTGCTTTTCACTTGGCTTCCCAAACAAGGGGGGGGGCCGCGAAGCGGCGGGGAAGAGGGTCGCACCCTCTTCCCTTACCCTCACGAAAGAAAGAAAGAGAGAGGTGGAAGAAGAGAGAGAAAGGAGAGAGGACAAAACGGTTTGAAGAACCCTGACTTCGTTACGTTGTATAGATTGCAACATCTTGCCTGTCAGGGAGATTCAACCGACTTTTTACACTCCTCCAAAGCCCTTGCAAACATTGAGGGGGCCCTGGTGGCCGAGGGGTTTTGCAGACCCCTCATGCCCTGCAGAAGAGGACAGGAGAGATGCCCCGACCCTTAGCCCTGGCGAAAGAAAGATGTCCGTACAGGGGTTCGGCCCTACTGTAGGCCTTGCAGAAGACAGAGATGCCAGATCGGCGGATGCGATTACGACGGGGATGGACAGGGGATGACAGGAGTTTGGTGCAGTTTTGTCACAGAGCTCGGAAACGTAGAAGTAGAACATCCTGGAACGCATGCCGCCGCTGTCAACAACACGCTTTCAGGTCATGAGGGCAGTGTCGGAGCCCTTTCCCACTTTCGCCAAGGCGGAAGGGCAGGCTGACCTCATGATCCTCACGGGAGCCATCCAATTATAGCCCGCAGGTCGAGAAGCTTCTGGAGGACACGAGCGGCTGGCCAGCCGTGGTCCTTGCGTGGGGCGGTCTCGAGGACGTGGGCGCAGCTGGACTGCAGTTAGGACTGGAGCATGCGATGGTTCTTGGAGCACCAATGGCCTCTTGTTGTCACACTTCTGGGCGCAGGTAGCCGAGAGAAGTCCCGAGGCTCCGACTCCTCAAGACGACGACTTGCCATTTGCCCTGAGGGTGTACTTTGCCGCAGGCGGTGCAGGCTGTGGGTGCATGTCGTGCGATCTTTACCGGGAAGGCTGGGCCTGCCCACCGGCGCATTCTGAGCCGTGCCTTTTGCTGTGCCCGGGGCCCATGCTTCGTGTGAAGGTGACGACGGCCGTGCTGCCGTCTCTTGGTGTACCGACGACCTCCGTCATCGTAGACGATGCCAGGGCCAGCAGCCGCTTGGCTCGTCTCCGTGCTGTCTGCATTTTGCATCGCCCGTGAAAAACAAAGGCGCGGACATCGCTCGCATCCTTGGAGAGATAGAGGCATCAACAACGCACCGCCGGCAAGCTGGTATTCCAAATATTCCAAGAACGCAGTGAATCTGGCTAAAGGTTATTCAGATTCACATTTTCATGATTCGTGAACGCTATTTTAATGTGCCGCAGCCATGCTTGGGCAGGAGTATGTCAGATGCATGTCAACGTGGCGGCACGCCTTCACTGTCACGTACATTGCAGAAGGTTGGTGGAGTACAACGTCCGTTGTTGCTGGTCGTGGTGTGCCGTCCGCTCGCTCAGACGTGAGCGTGCAAAGGCTTCTCGCACACGACATGTGCATGTGCACTCCCAGGTGCCTTCCTGAGCAGGAGGCTTCTGCAAAGCTTTCGGCAGCACCTGCCACAGGCATCCTTGCCCAAGCCTGCGGATTCAACTGGAGCCATGCATTGTACAGATTCTTGCAGTTCTTGAGGATGTCACGCTCTTCCCGTCCCCTCCTGCCACCTTGATGCGCGCCTGCATGGAGGAGGCGAGGGGAGTCTGCTGCACTCTGCCGCGCCGCCTGCTTCGCCGCCTGCTGCGCCGCGTCGTGCCACGGCTCGCTTTGAGGTGCCGGTCTTCGAGTCTGAGATCCTGGAAGAGGCCTCGAGGCTGCGGTCCGAGGCGAGAGGAAGCCGGCGCTGCCGTCGCTTCCGTCTTCCGTTCCTTTTATGGGGCTCCGCCCTGCGGCCCTGGCCTTGCAGGGCGTGGTCCGACTTACGGAGAGGTTCCAAGCCGCGTTGGCCAGGCCGCTGTCAGAGTCGCCGTGCATGTCAACGACATCCAATGGTGCAGCACACGACCAGGTTGCAGGCGTCGCCCGAAGTCGCGGGTGGAAGCGCGGGAAAAAGCGCAGTGTCCGACGGTCCTACCTTGCTGCGCCCCCCCTCAAAAAGAGAAAGGAGTTTCGGAGTGGGACTCTGTGAGGTTGTGCTCACTCGCATTGACAGAGTGGAGGACAGCCGACTCGCATGAGAGCGCGCATGAGAGCGAGTCTGCGAGTCGTTGCAGGAGAGCATCACGAAAGCCGGAGGTCAAGCCTCGGCCTCCATGGCCGACCGAGAGATGAAACTTCGACAGGCCGACCTTCGGAGATGAGGAGAGAGAGAGAGAGGGGATTTTGGATTTTGGTTCTAGCCCAAGATATCCGCAAGTGCTTTTCCCGGTTCCCCTAGCCCGATAATCTGAAGCGCACAGAATCTGGTTTACTCTTGTTCTTGTACGAGCATGTTCTCGATTGCTCTGACAATTTCAGTTTTTGTTCCCGTCCCTACTCGTACTGCTCCGCGGTTCCTCGCCGAGCCAGCAGGAAAGGCACAGAAGGTGTTCGTTTCTCTTCGCTGTGTCCGGTATTGATTGAGGGCTCACATCAACCCGAAGCTTCGTGCTCAAAGAGATAACTACAAAACAGCGGAGTTAGCAGACGCATCGGGAACAAGCACAGGTTCTCGATAAAAAGATCGAGGATGTTTGCATGAAGCTCGACGTGCCACGAACTGCGGCCCGCCTCTTAGTGAGACAGGTTATGCCAAAAGCAGATCTTTCTCTTGGCCGTTTGAGCCGCATCCTGCATTGGGCGCTTGCAAAGGCACATGATAGGATGCAGTCAAAGGTCCACTTCATTGAGAATTATCATAGCGGCGTAGTTGGCCTGGAGCAGGAGGCCAGACAGATCAAGGCATCCTGCCAGAACGTAGACTTGCATTTCGCCGGTCAGGTGCGCAACATCTCTGTGGACTTCCATGCCCTCAAGATTCTTTCCCAGCCTGCGGCCCAATCTGGCGCAGGCTCCGGACAGCTGTGCTCCGCACAGTGATACGCGGCGCTCAGGTGTTGCAGCCATGCAGATGCTTTCATCGCGCAGGCTCTGCGCGACATCAGGCCGCACCTGTATAGGCAACGCACATTCCTGTCGTCTGGACCATGCTCGCAGGGCCCCCGCATGTGCGATTCAATGAGCCATCTTCCACACGCTCGCAGCCTGGTGTGCGGGAGCGTGTTGCCCTCCCTTTGGGCACACCCGTAGCATTAGGACTCCTGCACAAGCACCTGCTTCCAGGATGAAAGCCTGGAAATGTACATAGGCGATGCCCGTGACGAAAACAGTCTGCAAAGCTCTAAGCACATGCGCCGCAGATAAGACACAGGTAGAACGCTTGAGAAAACAGTCGGTGGCCCAGAAGACACGCTGCAGATAAGACACGGGTAGTGGGCACCAGAAAGCAGAATCTCAGAATGCGGTTTAAGGCAGCCAGAGAAACATGCCGCGAAGATCAGACACGATACGGGGCCGAAGCCGTCTGCAGAGACTGAGAAAACAGCCCAGGATGGAACGCGTCAGAACAAGGGTCTGCAATCAAGGCAAAGAGCATTCCGCACAACGAAGAAAGATAGCTCAGAATATGCACGCCGCAAGACAGATGGTAGACAGGACCAGGAAAGAGTGTGCGAAGAAGCTAGCCAGGAAGACATGGTGCAAACAACTCGCGGCGGGATAGCCGAACGCCGATGGCCAAGAATGCACTTCGAGAGACGGGGGAAGTGCGCGTAGTCAACTCCTGCATTTCTTACTTTCTAGCGGTCCAGCGCAAGTCGCTGATGCGAATACTCAAAACTGCAGGCTGCTATTGTCAGCATCAGCAGAGGGCAATATGGAGAATCGAGGTATGCAGCAACCCATCACAACTCTGATTGCGGCACTTCTTCTTGGCCCTGGGACCCGGGACCTGTGGGGTTTTCATGATGGAGGTGTGAGGAATAGACTTCATCACAAAGGCAAACTAAGTGACCACCAGCGGTCAGCACGCTGACCCTTGCTACTGGCTTACATAATTTCTGAGTCAGCACATCTTGTCTAGCAGGAGCAGAGCAATAGCGGCAGCTTCTCAAGCATTCCTCGCTGACAACCCGCACAAGAGCAAGCTGGCAGCACTTCCGAGCGAAAGGATGCGCGCCGCTGCGATGACTGAACCCGGTTGCTTCGAACCCGAGCTTGCGAACACGGCCTCCGAGCTGAGCGCTTTCCGAGACGCACCTTGGCAGATGCCCTTTGCCTTCAATCCGGGCTGTAGAGACTGGGCTTTGGGGGGGCTGGTCGGACAACGAAAACTCTGTCTTGAGCTGCAGAAGAAGGAACGGAAGCCATAGGAAGGTAGTCAACAGAAGTTATATAAGAGACGGCAAAGCAACCAGGGTGTTCTCAAGGCGTCAGGAGAATAACTTTCGTGTGTTTTGCACCCTGTTACTTACAATATTCATGATTTAAAACTGTGGGTGTTGAGGTTCCAGTTATTGTATGTTTGCAGGCACGACAACGAAAGCCGCTTGAAGTTGATGCAGGGCCTCTGCAAGAGTGAAACAGCAAACTCGAAGACAGATGCTCTGACCCAGGCAGAGAACCGCGCACGGCCCGCTTGGATGATGGCTAAAAATCTGAGTGACCATGACCACGAGCGTCCACGTTCGCAGCGGCGCTCCGACAGTGCGTGAAATGTGTGCCATTTGCGGGCAGCGGCGATCGAGGTGAAACCAGACTATACCAGACTTGATCCCCTTACTTATAGGGGGGTTGAACAAGAGGGGTAACCCTTCACAGAGTTGCCGAGGCTACCGAAGCCTTGTCTGGATGCTGTTCATAGCGTCTTGCCTCGATGAGTCATTCGAGCGAACACAGTTTGATGCCGCCGACTCGTCGATGTTGCAACTCTTCGCCCGAAACCCACAGAGCAGGTAAGCCAAACCAGGTCTTGACAGGGAAGAATTAAGAAGGGATGCTTCGGCGCTCGTAGACATTGACATGGCTATGAGCTCGCCTCTCCCAAAGCCCGGACCCAGGAACTCCGCCGCTTCGCCACGCGCCGTGAGACAGAGGCTCAGAATGCTCAGAGCTCGAGCTTCGCAGGCGGGAGCGGAGCTTTCCTCCGTGTTTTGATTCTGAAGCGGTTTTGAAGGAGGGCTATAATATAGCGGTCGTAGCTTTGCAGGTGAGTCTCTGAGTGGACGACGGGTCGCCGCCGGGACAGACGGAGATGGACCCTTCCAAGGCCGCGGCAGCGGCCCTGCGTCGCTGGAGGAAGTGGACTTACCTTTCATGGATCCCCCGAGCTTCCCCCAGGGACTTGCAGCACGGCTCAGGGCGACAGCGGCGGAATGTGAGGCCAAAGAGCCCGTGTCGATGGCCAGGCAAACCATCGATGCGAATGCGACCGAATCTTACACTGCCGCAGAAGTCTTCGTGGGCAGTGGCGGCTCAACTTCTCTGCCTCGATTCTGTGCAGAAGATGTTTGTGTGGCCGCAGCAGCTGTCCGAAAGAAGGAGGTGACCGAGGCCGAAAAGGCCGAAATGACCGAGGTGGCCGAGGTGAGGAGACTGCGTAACGAGTTGGCAGCTGCGGAGATGCGCTCACTGGAGATGGAGGGTCGCCAAGACGAGCTGCTAGCGGAGCTGAAGGCGTTTCAGCTCGAGATCCGCCAGGAGAAGCCTGTATTCCAACTTTGCCGGCAGAGGTTTTTGCGAGGTGTAGACTAGACAGCTTTGAAAAATGTGACGTCTGGCCGCGAAGGGGTCTTCAGCCATAGACTTCAGGGTCGTAGAGTTGGTACGTGTCTGGGCATCGATAGTGCATTCAGCCTTTTCTTAGTGCATCCAACATTGTCCAACTGACAGCTCCTCCGACGGCTGCACCCCTTGTCTGCAGCCTTCTCAAAGTGTGCGTTGTGGTTAGTTTCTTGTTTCACGGAGCGAACTTGTCGCTGCTAGAGCTCTCCCCAGTCCCGGCTCGAGTAGGTTCGTGTGATCACAGTGCATCCGCTGGCGCTGCACAGGAGGAGGCCTACAACCAGGAGCTCAAAGCCGAAGCTCAGCCCGGGGCCGGGGAAAAACATGCGGCCAGGGAGTTGACGGCGGCTGGAGCCAAGCTTTTCAGACTGCTTCAAGCGCAGTACGTGATGGGTCGGCCGGGCGAAGCCCTTGCTGGCCAAAGGCCATTGTACAGTCTGCCGAAAAGCTCAGCCTTCGATGAAGCCGCGAGGACACTCCTGTCGGAGATGTCGGCATCTCTTCAAGCCCTGCAGGAGGCTCCGTGCTTGAGAGGGCATGGACAACACCGTACTTCCACAGGAGCGTATGTTGCAAAGCTTAGTCCGGACAGAAGTCTCCTTCGGTCCTCACCATCAGATCCGCGCAATTGCAGAAAGAGTTGAGGAAGAATGTTGCTTGACCGTCGCAGCGTCTGCAGCTTTTCAAGCTTGTCCGTCCTGAACTGTATCGTGACGTCCTGAAAGACCTGCTCTCCATATCCGGCTCAGAGACCAGCTGCTGGTCAGGAGCCTTTGATGTCATGCACCTCAGCAAGTCTTGCACAATCCTTGCAGTCGGGCATCCGGAACCCCGAGTGTCTACGGCCGAAGTTGCAGATACGAGAGATCCGGTGCAACCATAACAGTTCACAGCCATGGCAGCCAGAGTGTAGCGCAGGCACACTCCGGCATGCGATGGAGGCACAGGATCCCTGGCCCTAGCCGCTGTCAAGTTTTAGACGCCTGAGCTCCGTGCTGTTAAGCCGTCTCATCTGGCACACTATGCGAGGATGCTGAAGCCAACGGTGCCGACGGTGCCGACGGCGACGGTGAGGAAGGCGCAGCTGTTTCAAGACTGATGTGGCAAATGGGACCGTCGGACCAGCAGGTGATGGGAAGAAGCGCGTCAAGCGCAAGCTAGCGATTGTTGTTGGTTTCATCGGAACGAGGTGCCATGACTACATCTTCAGATTCAGAGTTGAGTGTATCGTCGGTTTAAGCCAGGTACCGTGGTCTGATGATCAATCCAGAGGTGGAGCCGACGGCAACGAAGAAGTCTGTGGAGGATCGCAATGCAGTGTGGCAGAGTTTGGTAGAGTCATGCCAGAGACACGCTCCGGTCGTAGGAGCTTCTGCGGGTTGCCATGGTGAAAGCTGGCATCGTCACCGACATCAATTCTCAGAAGCTGGAGCAGAAGGCACGCTTTTCACACCAAAATGGCATCGGGTGAGCCTAACTGACGGACACTCGGCAGGTTGGCTGGAGCCGCTCCAGCCGGACAGATGCTGGGGTCGGCTGCCCGAGCATTGACGGTCATGATGACTTCTGCACACCGTTCGGCGACCGGGTGCTCTCAAGGGCATTTTAACTGCGCACATGAAGCTGCAAAACTCATAGCCTCGGAGCGACTCGTCTTGCAGGTCAGCGCGCTACGCCTGGTGATTTCGGCGAGGCTCTGTGTGGAACCGGAGAGCATCGACGAAGTGGGCTTCAGCCGAGGCTCGCCGCGTGTGAGCCATGCAGCGCTGGCTTTTGTGAGAAACACGAAAACGCATGCGCCAGACCTGGTCGATCAGATCAACCTGGGCCTGTTGCGCGCTGAAGATACAAAATCTGCAAACATAAGCATTTAGTTCCCTTCGGCTTTTGCTTTCAGCTTCCGAGGCCTGAAGACATTCGCTGCTTCAGCGCCAGGAAGGTGCCCAACAGCTTCGATGCCAAGCATGCAGCTCGTCCAAAGCTACAAGCATTCATCTGATATACTCCGATTGCAGGGAGACTTGTAGGTCCCACTGATCAGAAAATGCTCTTGATCAAAGGCATGTTCCTGGCGAGAGTGCCCTTCGAGAGTTGAGAAGCGCTGATTGGCCCGGAGCTGCAGAAAATGCCGCCCACGCGGTACACGCCTCGCAGGTATGAGTACATTCTTCCCACACACTTGGCAAAGCCGGTGGGCCGCCCTCTTAACGACCCGCCGCCCACTTTTGCAAAGTCAATGCAGCTTGGGAGCTTATGCCTTGTGCCTTCATATGAAAGAAGTGTTTTTTCACGGTTCTGAGGTGCATCACAAGATGATGAACCATCTCCAGTGGCTCGGACGAAGAGCAGAGTTCAGGGTCTTCGCAACTGGACCCACAACCGACCCTGCCGCCTTCAACTGTGACTCCGAAGGATGCTTTGGCAGCCAAGCTCGAAGCTGTCATGCGCCGCTTCGAAGGCCTTCTTCAGGGGCCTGTCGTGAAGCAGAGATTGAAGAATCCAGAGCCTTTCAAAAGGTTGTCACTCTTTTCACAACTACACACGCCTCAAGGCGCTAGTTGGAGTGCGTTTCGTTCGGCTCAGCCGCCCCGCAGCTTCTCCTCAGGCATCCGACTGTTTGCCCAGGAAGCCCGAAGGCAAGAGTTTTGTCAAAGGTCGAAGCCGCTCTTCCGTCGGTGCACCTGAGGTGAGGGCAAGGGAAAGGGGAAGAAGGGGAAAGGGAAGGGCAAGAAGGGCAAAGGAAAGGAGAAAGGCAAAGAGAAGCAGAAGGCTCTGAAGCGGAAGGCCCCACGGCCCCACGGCCCCATCCCTGCTGAGGCCCTTGTCCTCACAGTTGCCGGAAGCTCGCTTCGCGAGGCCTCCGAGGCGTTTGAGGAGCCGCCGGAGACGACCGCCGAGGGAGCCCCCAGGCCCGGTCCCAGCACTGACGTGCCCTCTCTGTGCGGAGATTCCGATGGCAGGCAGGGTGAAGCCGGAGAAGGTGCAGAGGCGATGCAGTACGGATCGAGATTGGGGAAAATCGCTGCCAGTGAGTCGCACTGCAGGCGCCTTCAGCGGACAATGAGGTCGCAGAGCATCCCGATGCAGTGGGCCCGGAGTGAAGCAGTGTTGCACTGACGAAACAATGCTTCAGAGAAGGCTCCAATGGGTGAAGAAGGTGCAGTGCGCTGACCTTAGCAGTCAGGAGTCCCAACTTCTGCTTCTGCACTTCCGTTTCTCTGGCCTAGTCCCTCACAAGATGCGCTGGAGCCTGGCGAAGCCGGTGCCCAAGAGATTTTCGCAGCACTTCGCCAAAGAACTTCGTGTGCAAGCGGCTGAGGCTGCTGAGGCTCTCCCCGCAGAGGCTCCGAGAGGCCAGGGGCCGTGGGTCGAAGTCTGCGCCAAGGCCACCGACGCACGCGGCGGGTGGCGGGTCGCGCATCGGTACGTCGGACATAGACATTGCTTGAAAGCGCAGGATGCCAGCAGCGGCGCCTGGCGAAGTCGGCCCGAGCACGTCTTGAAGCACACGCCCGGCACCCAGCAACCAAGCCGGACTCCGAATAGCATGCAATGGCTGCCCGCGTCGGATTTAATACCGGAATCGAAAAAATTGGCAAAGTGGTCGAAGATAAGGCAGAGCACCATGCACATGATCTCGGTGGAGCCAACTATGGAAGGCCGCCCTTGCCGAGAGTTGGACACTTCGCAGATGCATGCCCTGCAGGCAAACTACTGAGAATCGTGCTTCGCGGCCAGTTCTTCCTCTACAACCAGCAGATGCCCGAGCATGCGTAGGGCGTAGTGCATCGGGGAGGGACTCAGAACATGCCTATGTGGAATTGGACCGGAGCCAAAGGATTCGGTTGATGGTCGGCACCGCTGTTGCCGTTGTAGCCGGGGCAGAAGCCTCAGTCTGTCTGTCCTGAAATTGGGAACCCCAATCCGTTTCAGCAGGTCTTGCAGGAGGAGATGCTCGAGACCTGGCCTCGGTCGAAAACGCCTCTCTCGGCAGCCGGCAGCTCTCTGCTAAGATGTCCCGGACCAGGACAGCACTGACGCTCACCACGGAGATGCACATGCCAATGGCCCCGGCCACGGGTCTGTCGCAGACCCAGCTCGCAATTTTGCAGAGCGTTCGCATTTGACAGTTCATAGCCTCGTTCCTTAGTATACCTTGTCTTAATTATGCTGTGCACTGAGCCTATAAGGGCACCCACCGTACCCACCACTGGCGTTTGAAAGCCGATGTAAAATGGTTTGCTTTCTGGCTGCACACGAGATATGCAGCCTTTGACCAGCAGTGTAGTCAGTTACAGTTCCATACCGAATTGTAGCCACGATCTGAACAGTTTCTGATGTGTGAGTTCTCTTAGGTTGCTGCGCACCGCCGGCTTTTCACGATTAGACAACCGAGCGCGCCCAGCAGTCCAAGGGCTCGCTTCATCACCCGTCTGTCCGTGCTTCAAGCATGTCCAGGCTGGTGCTTGTGCCATGGACCCAAAGCAGGCGCACAAGCTTCGCTGATGGCTGAAGGGTCAGCAATGTGAAAGCCATTGAGGCAGAAGAGTGTATGCTGCCTTCCGATGGGTTTGTACTGATGGATGAGCAGGCTGGTCTTTGTGCAACACGATATTTACGGAATCCGCAGCCCAAGTCAGGCTTCCCAGATGGCGCAAGGGTTTGTCAAAGACGTGGAGAAGGACATGGACGTCCAGTGGAGAGAAAGCGGTGTTGGGGACTCGTTCTGCTGAGGAAGAGGGTGGGATCCTTCCCCAGTACTGTCGACTGTGCGGCAGCACCTAGGAGGGCGATGCTTGGGTTGCCAAGATGGCTTTCATCAAAGCTCCAACAGGGGCAGTGCCTGGGCGCCGTCCAGATTGGTGATTAGAGCTCCCGGTGGCAGTGATTGGTTTTTGGAGTTTGTGAGACCATATATTCTTGGCCGGAACAAATTAGGTCCTCGAAGAGCTGCGGGCAATGCGGGCCAAAGTGCAGCAGCCTCAATTCCCGAAAGAAGTACCTGTGACAGACCGTGTGCATATTTTCGATGCTGGTGCTGGATTGCACTTCACAGTTTGCTTGGTGAGGGGCTTGTTGTTGACTGTGTCAACATGAGAAGTGACTTGAGAGGCTGCAAGACCAGGCAGAGTTCCGGGCATCACAGGACGCCGCGCAAATCAGCTGCGCCTCGGGCCGCGCCTGGTCTCGCGTGCTCACAGGACATGAAGGATGCGAAACGCCGTGAAGCGCAATTGGATTCACTGGGCGAAAGGCCTGGCCAAGGACCCAGAGGACCCAAGGATGCATTTGCCAAGAGCCACAAAATCTGGCAGGTCTTCGACAGGAGTGCTTGGGTGCCTTGAACTTGACGAGTGCCACGAGCTGTCACTTTTGACATGTTCTGGTCATTTTCCCGGCAGGATTGCTTCCGAGAAGGTTTGCGGCGGACCTGATGGTCCGGTGCTTGGGCACAGGGTGGGATCAGTGGGCTCACCTGCGCTCGCATGCAGGTGCGCTTCCGCTTGGTGTTGCGGCCTTGGACCTGGGAGAATTGCCAGAATTGCTTGCGTTCTTTTCAAGGCCAGGCTGGCGTGTGAATAACATCCAAGCAGGACTCGTCGCCGCAAGCTCAGCCATTGTGAAAATCAGGAGGAACGACAACGACCGGTGCGTCACGATGCGGCCAAGGCACGAATAAGACAGTGGCATCAGGATCCATCCCAGAAGCCGCCGAGCATGTCCATGCCTCCGGAGACAAAGGAGCTGTCAGCCGCCCACATCCGGAGTGAGCAGTGAGTGACCTCGGGCTGACATGATACTGAGGCTTGCGTACTGCGCATCAGTGGGGCTCGATGAGTTGTCCAGCGAGGGCATCCGAGCAGCCTAAGTGCGCTTGCCGCTTATCGTCTAAAAACGTCGGTCAGTGGCCCCCCTGGGCCCCCCCCCCTCCCTGGTCCTCTTCCTGCAGTCTCAGAGAGATTTCAACTGAGCACCCTGGAGCAGTGCAGCGGCCGCTTCCGCTTCGCCGCTGCAGTGGCCCCCCTTGAAGTCGCTCCGCTGCGGGCGCCTCCTGCGGGCGTAGCGTCACTGCGGGCCTCCGGGTTCGGCAGGGTGCGGAGTTGGCCAAAGAGCCTTTCTGAGCGAGGCTGGTAGAAAATGCTTGCGCGGCTTCTCTGCACCAGCATGTGTGCCGCACAGCTCTACCTGAGAAAGATGGACAGTCCGTTTGTCGTTGGCTCCCAGCCGCATAAGTCATAAGAGCACGAGGCTCAGCGGTTTGCAGATACTCTTTGCAGTATGCTTGTGCCTTTACTACCCGTAGTGGTCTTAAAGACCAGTGGTCTATCCGATGGGCCAGCAGAAGCCGGCAGCCGGCCTGGCATGGGGGAAAGTCTCGAGGAAAGAGTCGGTGAGAGCCAAGCCAGCGATGAAGCGGGGCCTCAAAATTCGCACACCTAGCTCCTTCCATCTCCTTCCCTCTTCCCTTTTTTTGCTTCTGCACCCTGGACCTGGAGGTGAGCATTGATGGGGTGAAGTTGATTACACAGCCCGCAAGAGAGCTCTGCGTGCAGGCCTGGATTCTGGATCCTCTCCTTTGAAGCCATCTTGTTTGCTGCGTTGTCGTGCCCGGTTCAGGTGGAGGAGCAGCTGCAAGAAGAGCAAGGAGATGATTTGGAGAAAGTCCGTGGTGCAACTTGTCCTGAGATGCAACGACGACACCATTTGCCACTGCTGTGTTGATAAAGCTGGAGAAAGCTTCTGCAAGACCAAGGAGCTGGAAGAGTTACGGGCTCTGCCGGAGGGCTCAGCTGAGTGGGTGGAGGCGAAAGCCCGCTTGGATGCAGCAGTGCAGGCTGCTGTCACCGCAGGCCCTTCGATCGCATGCACTGCATCTTCACTTTCTGAATATGTGCCCGTTTCGAATCTCGCCAGGGTTTCCGTCTCAGGCTGTGCGCAAGCAGAGCTCCTGGAAGCAAGGGCACGAGAAGCAGAGGTCTGGGGGTTCGGACTTGATGCTTGAAGGCATTTGAAGGCATTTGAAGGCTTAGAGACTTAAAGGAGCTCAGAACATCCACGAGCCCTGGCTCTGGAGCATCAGGCGGAAGCGGCGGCAGCGGGTGAAGAGCTGACCGGGCCCGCTGCGCGCAAGGCAGCTTCGCAGCTTCTTCGCAGCTTCGCAGCAGCTTCGTAAATGAGCTTTTCCTCTTCGAAAGGCCCGGAAGCGGAGGCTCGAGGCCGAGAAGCTGAGGGCCGAGGCGACGTCGGAGAGGCAGCGCATGGCCCGCTTCGGCCAAGCGGTCCGCAGAGCGCAGAGAAGCAAGGCAGGGCCATGCAGGGCCGCAGGGCCACATGTGAGAGCCGTTTGTGTGCGGTTCATGCCATGGGCACCGGCTGGAGGCCGAGATCCCGAGCATTACCCTGGAGCTGGAAGATGATGCGGAGGCGGAGGACGTCAAGAAGACGGTGATTGCGAAAGCCAAATCTGCAAAAGACACGAAGACGAAGACTGACCCGCAGGCTTGGCAAGTCGCGAGTCTTGCTGCGACTGGCGGTGCTGATCTAGTTGCACCGCATCTGAGGTCAAGAAGGACAAGCGATCGAAGAAGGCGTCTCTGAAGCTGCCGTGCTCGTTTGATGCAGCTCTTCACCTTGGCAGATGTCTTCATCGTCCGGCAAAGGGAAGCGGCGGAAGAAGGAGGCCCGGCAAATCCCACGAATTGCATGCAACCTGTGCATCGTGGCTCTCAGGCGAGCCGGGAAGAGGTGCGAAGGAAGGCCGAGGAAGCGGCGCGGCGGTGGCAAGAGCGAGACGATCAGGTGAGCGGTTTGCTCTTGTCGTTTCTCGGAGAATCGAGCCGTGGTCACGCCTAAGTGCCAGTTGGAAGCCAGCATCCGTGTCGTGGAGCAAAGAGGAGACTTTGAAGATGCTACGTGGAACGAGCTCTAAAGCTCGGATGCGCTAACCGTTAACCACTGAGCCATGGTGAGGAGCAAAAGCTGCTGCGGAGAAGGAAGCGCTGCGGCGAGCAGAGAAGGACATGTCGTCGTACGTTTGCTTTGAGGGTTTTCGGTTTTCCCTTTGCGCGGTGAGAGTGCATGGTTCTCGGTTGAGGAACGGCAGCTCAGGGCCGCGGCTCCTTGGCTTGGAATGAGGGAGGCAGTTGCATGTCCAAGGGCTCCGTCCGCTCGGCCTCTTACTGCAAGGAGCGGCGGCGAGAAGCAGAGGCTCGCAGATCACGATCCCGGCGAAGACGACGCAGGAGATCTTCGTCCTGACTCCCATGATTGAGCCGTGGACAACTCCGACGGAGCTCATCCAAGCAGCGATCTGTGACTTCAAGTGCCGACCTCCGAACCAGATGGCGAGGCACAGCTTGGCCCGTGTCCATCTCCGACAACAAGAAAATCCAGCAGATCCAGCAAGAGAGCAGTTCCGAGCTTCCCGGGCACATCGTGGCCCCTGTGTTCGAAGGTACGGGTAGAGTCGCAGCGGTGAGGAAGTACTGACGAGATCGCTGACGTGTAGCGGAAATTGAAGCGCTATACTTGCTGCACTTGCTATACTCAGCTCTAGTGATCATGTTGACAGGCATAACGGGCAGAGAAAGTATTGAGAATTTACTCCTGCGGTGGTTGTTCTTCTGCTGCGCTGCTCACTTCCGACTGCAGCTGCGATTTGGCTTTTGTAGGGCTTGGGGTTTGGGTCGACCAGCATCAGCATGGCAGAGGAGGAGGCTGCGGGTGCCTCAGATATTTGGCTGCACTGGGCCTGGGAGCATCTGCCTTGCCCCAAGGCCGAGCAGGAGGAGGGAGGAATTCCGTTGTCACAGGCTTGAGACTTGAGATGACCGATGAAAAATCTGAAGAAGATTCGGAACCGAGATGCGCACAGGCTTCGCTCCAGCAGCTGAACGTGGTAACGACCTCGGAGCGAACTTTCAAGCTTTCCTTCAAAGCCTAAGCCGTGGCTGCCAGGTGAAGCAGCAGCTGGAGCAGGAGGTCAGAAGCCTGGCGCGAAGCTGAGACTACACTTAACCGCCATTTGCTGAGAGACTCGACACGCTTGACCGGCTGAGTTGAACAACCAACAAGCACTTAGGGAGGCGGAGGCCGGGCGGCAGATGCATGTGTTCGCGGTTGAGTGTGAGCCGTCGCACAGGCACGTTTTCAAGCGTCGATGGAGACCTTGAAATCGCTGTGCCCGGAGAACCACGGCAAGCCCATGCTCGTGTGAACCTGAGCTCCCAACGCTTCGCTTTATCTGTTGCTGGTAGTCGTCGTCGTTCGTAGCTTTTAGCTTGCAGTTCGTGGCTCAGGAGTAGGGATGGGAGTGGGAGCACGAGTACAAACAGGAGGGGGAGCAGGAGTGGTAGTCGTCGTCCTAGTACTAGTAGCCAGTATAATGCCTAGTAAGTCACTAGTATGCCATGGGCTTTCACTTCGCTAGGAGAAGGGTCCGCGAGAAAGGATCTGAGGGGCTCGGGCTCTCCTGTCAGTGGAGCTTCTGGCTGAGATTCCTCTAACGTCATCCCTTTACATCGATGGACACATGACAGAGACGCGGGGGACTCAGTGATGACAGGAAGCAATGATAAGGTCCCTCGATCCTTCTCCATCCCGTCAGGAAAAAGGTGACAGTCGACGTCGGCACTGGCTACTACATTGAGATGTCAGTGGAAAAAGCCCAGAAATTTTGCAACAGGTGCTCTGGGCAAACGCTTCGGCTTCCTTCGTGCTGTGCCTGTAGCGTGTGGAGTTGGCAGTATTGGAACTGTTCTACGGCCGATCGCCCGAAGGAGATGCAAGCTGCTGGCCGACAACGCTGCCAGAGTCGAAGGGGTGCTCTGCACGTGACTAGAAGAAGGGTTGAATTTAGTGCAATGCAGCTGCCCGGTTCAGGTGCTCAAAGACAAAAGGAAGAACTTGGAGACCCTCCAGATGACCATGCAACAGAAGATGTGCCCTGGTTGTTGCGGTCACTGGCCAGTGAGGTCGGCATTCCGAATTCTGATTGGAGGTACCTGCTGCAACAGCAGCAGGAAGCTGCTAAAGAGAAGGACGCCTGAGGAGGGCGACAAGCTTGGAAAAGCCTCTGGCGCTGGGGTTTGTCGGAAGGCGACGCTTTCCGTCGCAATTTGTGCATACTAACCGGGAGCAGCTGCCTAAATCTTGCAGACTGTCCCAAACGAATCTCAGATAGATGCATTGGAAGGCCGACTCATACTGCAGTTGGATCCTGGAGCATGAAAAAGAGGATTCAAAGAGCCGCGAGCGGCATAGCACACGGCTCGCTGCTCAAGGGCCGCATGTGCACCTTGAACACGCTTCATGGTCGGGATGCGACAGCATGCCATAAAAAGGTCACATCCACGTGTTTACAATCTTGGGCAACACAGAACTTGATGGAGTAGTGCAGGCTAAGACGGCTAAGAGATGGAGATCTGGTGATAGTGACGGCAAACAGACGCACAAGCACCAGGAAGGTCCATCGTTCGTGCACAGAGTGTGATGTTACATTATAGCGCCCAAATAGCCAAATAGACCCTAGGACCCCGCATGTGCATCCAGTGTGTCAGCTCATCTGCTCTCCAATCCAGGAACTCCTCTCCTCTCTTCTTCTCTCCCACTGATGCCCGTCTGCAAGCACTGTGCCTATTGGTGGGGCCAAGACCCCGAAACCCTGGAACGTAGACTAGAGGCTGGGGGCAGGTGGATACTGGAGTTACTCAAGACAGCGAATATTGGACCTATAGCCACCAACAGTCATGCTCGGACAACACAACATCACAACATCTCTGGAGAATTGGGCAAGCCAGGGGATGCAGAATCTCATTGCCCACCTGCCCGTCTCTTCGTCACTTGAAGCGGTCAGCTGCGCTTGGACTCTGCTGTCTCGGAACTCCTCGCTTGAACACACCCGGGCAGCATGAAAGGCTCGAAAGGCCCGGGCAGCGCACGCCAGAACCAGGGGCGATCAACCACGACGCATCACTATAGGCCTCTTCAAGCTATGCTCGGATAGTCCCTGAGAGCATTGCAGCCACGTGACCGCAAGCATTCAGGGGCCGCTTTGTGCGATGTAAGAATCTCTTGTCTTAGACTTGCAGAAACAGCTTACGGCCGATGGCCCTCTCTGGCAGTCAGCTAGAGGGGCGGTGCCGGAGCAAGATCGTGGGACAGAAGCGGAGCTCGGCAAAGGCAGGCTGCATACCGAAGCTTAGCGGCGCTGGTCGAGATTTCGTGGTACGTTGGCAGGTCCAAGCAGCGATTGCTGTCCTGGCTGTGTGCTTCTGCGAGGTGGCCTGGGCCACGGTCTGAACGTTCTGCGAGGAGAGCCGAGAGCCGAGGGAAGTTGTGGGCCGAGGTTCCAACAGGGTGGTGTGCCCACCGTGGCGCGCAGTCTCAGAGCTCTCTTCTCTCTCTCAGAACCTCTCAGTTGTGGGCCAAGGCCAAGGCATTGGTCTGGGCACCTCGCAGCTTTTTCCAAGGCATCTTCGAAATAGGCATGTCTGCCGGATTGCAAATCCCGGGGCATAATAATAGCCCTGCGTTTGAGCCATCTTCGGCCGCCCTGTCCTTGCTTGACGTTGGCTTGACTGAGCGTCCGCGGATGATCATTGCTCCGAGCAAGTTGGCAGAGCTGCTTGCAGCCATGACTGCCGGACAGCTAATCTTCTCTCTGAGGACCGTGCTTCAGATGCTTGTTCACTGCAAGATGTTTACGGTCGGACGACGTCTGAATTGCTGAACCCTTCTTTGACGAGCATGGGGTGAATGGCTGCTAGGTCCGCTAGGTTGCTATCCCCACTAGCAGCACACTTGACACCGATTTGGTGTGTTATGCATGCCGTGTCACATGCGTTGCCGTAGATGGTACTTGCTGCCAGTTACGCTGCATGCTTTTGTTGTCAGCGGTACATTCCGCAGGGTCAAGGTTAAGGCGGTGGTCCCAACCTCTGCCTCCGGTTTGTCCCAGCCCCGGACAGATGGCAGCGCGGTCGCAGCCAGCGCTGCACGAGATTTGCGGAAGGCTGACGAGGGTTTCCACTCCTTGTTCTTGTGACAAGATAGACTGCCACAGGCTCGCCGGGCCGCGTAGTCTTCCTGGGTTCGCCCGACTGCGTGGAGGCATCGTCTTTACAGCAGGATCAAGAATGCTCGACTTGTGTGTTGAATTGAATTTGAAGGTGGTGCTGCAGTCGCTCTGGAATGCCAGCCAAGCCTCAACGGATTTCGAGGCCGGCGCTTCGCCCCCAAGGTGATTTCTTGATTGGCACCTTGGCTGTGGAATCAGGTCTGTGCCGTGGTTTCTCGTCCGCCGAAGCGTGTCAAGAAGGCTTGTCACATTGTGCTGACAGAAGACGGGCACGAATAGTTGGCGACCGCAGGCCATCGCCAAGACTCCCGTGCATGCGCTCGCTGAAGATCTCGGGGTGCAGCCAGTGGAGCGGTGTGATGACTGCACTGCCCGCATTGCCTCGCTCTGGCTAAGATCTCCAACATCTTGACGCCGCCATCGGCGAGAGTGACATGCTCAGACGGCTTCCAGACTCGGACTCTGAGCATCCTTTGAGCCGTGGTTGGGCTTGCGAGGTCAGAGGGAAACCAGGTTTGTGCAGAACGAGAGACGGTCAAAATTCCAAGATAATTACTCAATTTTGGCGTACCCTCTACAGACATCTGCAGGCCCCCTTCTAGAAGCGACCTCCACATCGACCACTGAGGATGAGGCTTTTCTGGAGAAGCTAGAAGAGTTGAAGCCTGATGCTGCAGTCTCGGAAGATAATCGGATCGCCCCAGCTCTTCTTAAAATCGGTGCATGGGTCAAGGTCTGCGTGACTGCCGCGTGCCCGACTGTGTGGCAGATCACTGCATGCACATTGGTTACTGCACTGCGTGGGAGCGTGCCTGCACATTTGGAGTGCTGCGGAGACTTCAGTTGCAGCTCGTGGCAGGTATGGGGAATATTTGCCGCGGCGGTTTCTAGAGGTGCCCATGGCCGGTGCTGACAGTGGCGCAGATCGTGACACGTGACGCGGCTGGTCCCAGGCACCGCGTTTGGGCACCATCAACCTCCACCCGTCCTTGCTGCCACGATGGCGAGGCCATCAACCCCGCATGCAGGCGGTGCATTTGCCGATGGTCCTTGCAGGTGCTTCGCCCGTGCAGCGCTGCCTGGTGGCTGGCGATACGGAGACGGGAATCACGGCACGCCCTGGCACACTGCACAGGAAGCCTAGACAGACATGGGTCCCTCGGTTCTTCCTCTGCCCTGATCAGATCTTGTACACTGTGGCGAAAATGGATGCTGGGAGCGGGTCCTGAATTTGCAGCTTCCCGTTCTCTTCGTTTCCCGGCATTCCCAAGGCCCATCATCGTCCAGGAGAAAATGGCCCTCGATGGCTGGACACTCGCGAAGGACGAAGGATGCTGCAGTCAGGACGGCACGCCGGGCACGCCAAAATTGAGGCTCTGAGACTTCTCCAGAACTGCTGGAGAAGCTCTTCCGGCCTCGGCCCAAGAAGCCTGAGAAAGCCTTTGAAAAACTCCAAGGTCTTCCTTTTTTTGCCCAGGTGGGGTGGCGACCTTCTCGTGGAGGCGCAGGGAGGACCTGTGCTCGTCGGGTGATGTGGGAAACCCAGAGCTCTTGCCGCCTGCGGCAGGTGCTGCCGAAGATCCTCGCCGGTGAGGCAGCAGATGCGGCAGATTCACAGCGATTCGGCTTTTCGGCTCTGGCTCTTAAAGCGGAGGTCTCGATGGACACCGCGGCCGTTCAAGATGAAGGCCTCGTGGAAAAGGCACATCAGAGGGATGAAAAGTTTGCAGATCGTCACCACGTCCGTGATCAGGAATAGTCATCGCAATCACTAGGTCTTCACAGGGTCCGAATCGGCATATCTAAATTGCCTCTGTCACACCGTTTTTTCGTAAATCATCATTCTGGTCAAAATCATGTTTGACTTCGTCCGGTCAGGCCCCGCTCATCTCGAAAGATGAGGGCAAACTCTGGCCACACAACGAAACGGCTCTCCAGATGCGCGACAAGGCCTTCTTACACCACCATGACCAAAAGCTGAACCTCTCTCAGCGGATTGGGCCTTCCTTTCAGAGTTCGATGACATGCTGTCATACAAGTACAGTGGCGAGATGTGTGTAGCGAGAATGCATCTGACTGGCCGGAGCGACGAGGGACATTCAGGGAGGGAGGCTCAGCTTCAAAACTGTCTCGGCGAGCGCATGAACAACGAAGCTCCTACCCGTGAGCAGGTGCGGGGCTTCACCGGATGGTGTCCATCTCAACTTTCGGGCTTCGTGAGACTCCGAGCTGTGCCTCTTTTGCCTTTTTCCAGGCCCGGCACCACGCTTGCGATCGCCTGCTCGGGCTCCAAAGCTCCGCCTCAAGGCAAGGGCGGCGACAGCCAGGAAGGGAGGGGCGGGGGGCCCTTGAGGCCGCTAGGCCTTCGTTTTTGTTGGAGGCGTCCGGGTCAAAGTAGCAGGCGCAGAAGTCGCCTGAAGCTTGGACATCCCCTTGGATCTCGAACTTCGCGCTGCCACGGCATTGCCCGTGTTCAGGTACCCCTTTCCGCTTTTGCGAGCTCGGCCAGCCGGCAACCTTGTTTAGACCGCATGCACCGGGACAGCAGCAGTGGACTGATGTGTTCACCAAGTCTTCTCGCTGGCTGCATGCGATCCGTCTAGCTGCATCATGCTGCTTAGCTACTCCGAGCGCGTCTGACAGTCAACTCGGCCTTCAGCGATTGAATTACCCCCGCATAAAACAAGGTCCAGATGCACCTCTCCAGGAGCTCCTGTTTATGCCCGCTGGGGCCTATGGTGTCGTGACAGACAGCTTCACCGTCCCCGAGTCAACCCGACGGCCTCTTCCGTGACAGCTAAGCCGCTAAGCTCCAGCATCTCTCAAAGCCACTTGTGACTCGTTGCCTCCCTTGTCGTTGGCTTCCGTTGATTTCCGAATGCTAAGCCGCTAAGTTTGATGTATCCCCTTGCGAAGGCCGTTGACGGCTCTGAGCCTGCTGTCGGCTTGAGGCCAGCAGTGGACCCGGAGAATGCATGCACCCAAGTTGTTCGGCAAAAGCTGCCAGAGTATCCAAAGCACAGTGAAGCGCACAAATCGAGCCAGTTTGAGGTTTTGCTGCTCAAGTCTTTTCAATTGCCCGGCAAGAAGGAGGCCCCGCACAAGTTTCACCTGGATCAACACCCGTTTTCGACCTCTTGGGCAGGTTCCAGCCAAAACCTTCAGAAAGGGGTACATGACCTTCCAGCCGGCGAAATGGCTGTCGCACATGTCTTAGTTCAGGACGTTTCACTCCTCTGTGAAAATGTCCCGATCCCAGGCCGGAGGAAGAATCAGAGATGGTGTCGGCAACAGGAGGCCAGGTGAGACGAATCGCTGTGTTGCTGCCTCGCGCTCTGCTCCCGTGTCGCAGCTTTCAAGAAGCAGAAGAAGGTGAGAAGGTGCCCTCGCCACCTTCTTGGGATGCTTGACAATGCTTGGCAATGTGTGTTTGGGCTTGCACCTGAACCTTTGGCACGCAGCCGGGGGGTCAAAGCAGCAGATGGCAAATGATGGCACATGTGCCTGGGGGCAAAGCCGCAGTCAACTTTTTCACATCGGCAAGCATCGCGCACGTTACCTCGGCTGTCGACAGCGCAAGGCGAGATCTCCAGATTTTCTGGGGCAATTACCCCAGCACTTAGCTTCCGGAGCCATGATGTTCAAATACTTTCGGACCAGTGGCGTGGAGCCTTGCGGGCACTTGGCGGCCGCAGAGGCAGCCATTCAAGCCAAGCAGCTGCATCTTGAAGTCTCGGAACCCTGGCATCTATGCGCTTCTGTGCTGTGCAGAGTGCTCTTGTGTTGATGGTTGTTTTGGGTTGTTTTCTGTTAAGGAGGTGGTTCCCGGCTCGTTGTACCTGGGTGGCGCCAATGCTGCGCTCGGCCTAGCGAAGGCGCGGCAGAGTCCAGGGTGCTCTGGCTCTAGCGGCAGATTCCGGCCGAGGCAAACGACCTTGGCATCACCCACGTGCTGAATGTCTCGGACCTTTACGTCTTGGCTCCCGGCCGCCATGGGAAGCTGCTGGCCGAGTGGGTGCGGGCCCAAGTTGCTCTTAGCCGAGAAGACAACGCTCTCTGCTCTCAGCTCAGGTGCCGATGGCAGACGACGGATTTGTGCGCAGCCCAGTCTTCAGAGTCGAGATGACTTCAGGATGAGTGGACTCCTGGCTCGTGGAGCGTTGGTTTGTGTCGCATGTTGCTGCTTACTTTCAGGATGACATTTTTGGTCCAGTGCAAACAGCAGAAGAATTTGAGGCACGCCGAGATTGCTTCAGGCTGGCTGCCTAGACCTAGACACTGTGGATCGCAGCAGGCGGCCAGGAAGGAAAATCCCGACTGTCGTCCTTCGGGTGCCTACTGGCGATGTAAAGACTTCTTGGAGGCGGATGCCAGCAGACCTTGCGAGATGCCGCGCCTCCCTTGCATCCTTTGCCTCGACCTCTACTAGCAGTCTGCAGGCCGCCTTCAAGGACCCTTCCTCCTGCGTTTTGGTGCATTGCGCTCTCGGCGTGAACCGCTCCGCGACTTGGCAAAAACCGCCGCGGCAGTCCAAAGCGAAGCTTTGCCGAGTTGCTGACTGGAGACAGGCGAGCGTTGTACTGGCGTGGCTGATGGAAACGAGGCCGGCTTCGTCGCGTGTGCATGAGTGTCAAGCAGATCCCACCCATCGCCCAACACGAGTAACAACCGAATTCCGAATCAGTGTAAAAACAGATCTGTGGCAAGTTGGGAATTCGGCCCGGTCGGTGGAAGGGCGCAATAGGGGGCCAACATCAGGTCAACAGTGGCTTGAAGATCCCAAGCATACCTTCATGGGAGGGCCAGTTATACCGTTAAGGCCTCAAGGATCCATAGTAGGATGGCAAGTCATTCACCGCCCGCCCACGATCATGTTTAAGCTCCTTTCTTCCGGTGCAGCAGCTCGCAGGGGCTGGAGTCTGGCACAGGCTCTTCAGCATGCCGACGGCTTGGACACATTGCGCACCGATGGGAAATTCAGTTGGGCACGCTTGCTGTGCTGTACAAGGTACAGAATCGCAGACCTATTGTACATCCTGCAGACAAGCTGAAGGCCTTCTGCTTGCATGGATGTTAGATTCTGCGGAGATGCAGCCGCTTGCTTGCTTTCGTCACCAGTGATAAGATCAGTCGGGTGCAAGTCTAAGTCTCTAAGTGTTCTGGTTGCAGGAGCAGTTATTGGCTTACCAAGAGCGGCTGGGCATCGAGGAAGCCTCAAGCGCCTCTTCCTGGGCCTCTTCCTGCATTGTGTCATGACTTCGACTTCTCACCGCTTTTGCGACTTAGACCTTCCCAAAGAGCCGACAAGCGGCGAACAGCCTTTGGGGTCAACTGCGGCGAAGGGCCAAGCAGGTCTCCCCCTGCAAGAGCCTGCGGCTTGGCGTGCCACGAGCCTTTGTTCACCCCAAGAGAAAACAGGGTGCAGGGCAGTGCAGGGTGCAGAGCCTCGTTGCCAGGGCTCAGCTGCGGCACATGCGGCACAAGCTTGCAAGTCCTTGGCCAGGTGATCTGCCCCCGAGGCCGCCTGGCCCATGGGCAATAAAAGCGGGGCAGGTCGTAGTCGCGAGCAGACGTGCCTGCTGTGTGCAAGCTTGGCCCGACCTCGCTGCCATGATCCTGTCGACAGCCAGGTACTGCTGCGATAGACTTAGACTCCTCTGGACAGCAAGCACGGCAGTTTGCTCGAGCCCTGAATTGATATCCACGAGTTTGCATCGAAGACCGAGCTGAGTCCGAGCGCACGCTCGGGTACACTCCAGCCGAGCATGGAGAAGGAAGCACGTCGATCTCAGATACCGACACAACGTCGAAGCCTCATGCGCAGCTTCAGCGAAGCAGATCCACGCCATGGCACTGGCTCAAAACATCGAGGCATAGCCACGGCCAGGTGCTCGGAGCTTTCATGTGCATCTGATGACTGCAAAGCTGCATTAGAAGGCTCGGATGCAAACGGGTCGCGTGCCGGTCCCTGAGGACCTGGACACTGCAGATGGGATCAAAACTGCACTGCCGACGAGAAACGGGCGAACTGCGAGGTGATGACGGTACACTGGCAGTCTGAACAGAGAATGGGTCGTTTGTACGAAGTGCAGTACAGTGGACGTCGTTGTCGTAGTTTCTTGCGGGACTGCTAGTCGTGTGGCAAGCAACTTTCACGTATCTTGAGGATGCATGTGTTGGTAGCAGCAGAATCAGGCAGAGCACTAAGCCTTCACTGTGCGCACCTTCTTGCTCATTGCCCACTTCCCAATCACTACTTGGATCAAGAAGCAGTAGACAGCGAACGGCGGACATCCATAGTCCTCTCTTTCCGCAGTCCGGCCCTCGGCCTTGTGTGCTTCCGCTGCAGCTCGTGTCAGTGCAGCCTTTGCCGGTCTCCTGCAGGAATGTTCGACTGGGCTGCGGATGCGAGAAGCCAAGTGTCATGCTCGAGCCTTTGTGCGAATCTCGCTTGCTGGCTCCCACCCAGGACTTCCCACAGCTCGGAGCTGCAGTGAACTCAGCCAACATGGCCAGCAGAGCAGGGAGATGAGTGTGCTGTTGGAAAAGCAGCAGGCGCTCTTAAATGTCAAATGCTGCTCCTCTGAGGGCAGCACACAAGCTCCCCTCCTGGGCTGCCACTCGTCACGGGAAGTTGCAGTGCCGTCGGCATGACGCGCGTCAGCGAAACGGAACGGCAGAAACCTGCACAGCCGAGGCTGGGCGAAAAAGACACCACAGGCCTTGTGCGGACAAAGTTCTAGTGAAACACATTCATGGGTGCAGGGACAACCGTCGATGCGCTTTCATACCATCCAAGAAGAAGGGTTCGTCCGTAGCCTTTTGATGTACTGTATCCGTCGGGGTCAACGGTTGTCTGCGTCGCTGCTTAGCACTCCGCATGCTGCCGCATGCTGTGAAGGTTTCCGCAGGCCCCTTGAGCGCGGTTGCCGAAGGATCTTCGGTCGGAGGCCGTCCAATGCCGTCCGTTGCTTCTGCGCACCTTCAGGATTTGCCTTGTGTAGTCTGCACAGAATGTCGGAGTGCTTCTGTGGAAATCTCATCATAGCCGGACTTGTTTTTGTGTTGTCGGGGAATGTCACAGGGTTTGGTTTCATTATCCTTGTTGCAGGGCCCGGTGGCGGCGTCCAGAATAGCTGGAAGTCAGCTGGGCAGCGGCCTCGGCCGTTCCTAGCGCATGACACGTGGAGAGCCTTTGCCCGCACAACTTCAGGTCGAAGAGGCACGAGAAAGGCGGCTTTGGGTGTCGGATGCACGTTGGCATGTGGTCAGTGCCGCGAGAGCATGCCAGCAGGCTGGCCAAGATCCAAGTGGCAAGTCTCTTAGTGGCGGAAGTTGAACGTGGCATCCACTTGAATCGCCCAACTGTGCCGGTGCCACGTGCCAAGGTACGGGTACGAGTCTGGCTCACGCCAGAACAACTGGCGCGACTCTCACCAGCCCAGCCCCCGGATCTATGATCCATGGTTTCAATTAGTTCAGAAACGCCTGAGGCTAGACCGAGCATTTATTCGGGAGCAGTGGGAATCACGGAGAGTCGTCCATGTCTACTCCTGCTGCATCAGCGATGCTCAGGAGATGGCATGGATCAGCGGGCCCGAACAAATGGGTGTGGCGCGCTCTGCGCTCAGTTGCCTGTTCGGAAGTGGGCTCGAGACCTTGTAGGTGTCCTCGTCTTACTGCTAGCTTCCGCTGGACTGGATGCCCGACCACTTCAAACCGCTGTGAGGTGAAGGGAGCCTGAGCACCTGCATCCAGGATGAGTGAGTGCAGTACGTAAGCGATGTCCGCTTGTGCAGGTACCTATATCTAAGCAGTAGACGGTTAGGGCGAGTTCGTTATCACAGCTTTTTTCTCCTGGTTCAGGGCTCCAAGCCCTGCAAAAACTGCAGGCATCAGCGAACTGTCAGCGTGAGATCACGCCTTGCAGAATTGGACTGGGAGAACAGGGTAGTACTTGTAGCAGCAGCTTCGTAAGCATGCATCGCTGACAGCGTGCACGACTTTCCTATCGACATTGCGATGAGCTGAGCGCTGTCCGAAGTCTCCACATATCGTAATTCGCGTGGTTGCACAGAACATCACACGGCACACAGTGGCATGCAAAGCGTGTCCACACATACCGACACAACGCTGAAGCCTCAGTCGTAGCTTCAGCGAAGCAGATCCATGCCATGGCACTGGCCCAGAACATCGAGGCATCACTGCAATGCTATATTGAGAAGGCTTGGATGCAAACGGGTTGCATGCCGATGTTTGTGAGGACCTGGACACTGCTGCAGACGGGATTAAGACTGCGCGGCAGAGGCAGACGAGTGACGTAGACCCCGCGCTGTGATGTTCGGAGCTCACAGTTTCGTGCGGCTTCCGCCAAAACAGCCAACAAAGCGGCCGCTTCGAGCCTCTGCCTCCCTGCCAAAGCTGACACGAAGCTGAGTTGGACTGACGTTGGACAGTTGTGATGCGCTGCTTCCTGGCCCAAGCAACATGGAGGGTTCGACGGAAGCTGGACGAAGAGCCGGGGCCTCTGCTTGCAGCCATGATCGCTTCATGCAATCAGAACAAGCCCAACCATGCTTCGATTCTCCTTCAAAAGTCTGCGGCACGACCTACGATGTCAGAATCTGTAGGTGCTGCTGTTCGGATGGGGTGCTGCCGCTGAGCAAGTTCTCAAGGAATTGTGCAGGGCCTAGTCTCGAAAAGGAATTTGCAGAGTTGGGGCAGCCAGTTTTCAGAAGGTCCTCTATCGGCAGTGAGCAGGCCCGGCAAGCTTTGGCCCGGAGCTCTTGTTTTGGAGCTGCCCTGCGTTAGGTGGGTGGAAGCTTACCTTCGTCGGCTGTCTTCTGTATTTCTCAGACATCACAAGCCAAAGACTGTGCTCGTTTCTCAGACGGCTTTCGACTGTCGTAAGTATTTCGATCCTCCAATGCATGTTCAACGTGTGCGAGGATTTGCGGGAGGTTTGCGCAGCTCTTGGCTGCAAATGCGTCAGCCGGCTGCAGTTCTGCTTCTTCGGCTTATTGACGCATTTAGGAAAACATAGTGCAGCAAGCTTGAGAGGTACTTTCTGACAATGAAGTCGAGATCTTGGAGAGACTTCGTCGCAGTGAGATTTCTCAAAGAAGTTAACCACCATGATTGAAAGTCTTCCCTCTGAGCCTCTGAGCCAACCTCAGAATGGCACGCGGCTTTCGGCCAGACTTGATCGTCTCTGCGCGCGGCCCTTGCCATTCACATTGTCCTCGAACACTTCGCAAGATCTTGAATCTGCCATAATCTGCCGTTTGTTAGGTCTTACAGGAAAAAATTGCCTGGTAGCGTGTCCGGTTCTTAGGAAGGAGTTGCTTAAGTTGCCCGTGATGCAATGCAGCGACCTCTCGCCGCGAAGGTTGAACCTGTGCCCTGATTGTATCAACTTCCACCCCTCCCTGCTGCCCAAGCATCGGGGCTGTTGGTCCGCATCCCAACTGGGGCCCGAGACAGTTGCTCTCGCAGCCAGTCAAAAGTGGCTGGATTGCGCAGGTCAGGCTTCTGGTGCATTTTTGAGGGCGACACCGAGACAGGTGTCACATGCCACCGCATGGTGGAGGCCACACGCTGCTTGCTGTGCTGAGGTCTTAGGTGCACAGGCGCTGTTCCGTGCGTTGACGCAGGCATTCGATGCGGGACTAGTGCTGCACCAGGAACGTATCGTGGTGGACTGGAGCCCCGGAAATGTCCGGTCTCCCGAGCATTTCGGCCAAGACAAGCGGCTAAGGACGAGGTGGACACGGCCTTCTCTGCCCCGCCCACAGCCCATTTGCAGTAGATTCGACGTGGTGCCAGATCCGTCTGCTGGTAGGTTTACCGGAAGCTATTACCGGTGACTGCACGGTGTGCGCGAGAGGTGCAGCATCCTCGGAAGCAAATACCAAGTAAAGCCGAACGGGTGGCACCATGGGGCTTCTTAGCCAGGATCTCTTAGCCGATCTGTATTAGCTGTGCCGGTTCTGGCCCAGGTTCGTGCGGTATTTCAGTTCCGAAGGTCTCCCTGCAGGCCTGCACAGGGCGCTCCGCTTACGCCGGAGTTTGCACAGCCACGAACAGGCGAAGAGCAGAAAGGTGAAAGCTCTTACCACTACAGGACTGCAGCAGACGGCATTCATATTCTTACGCTCAGCTCTCCCTACCAGTTGCAGGAAACTCCCATTCGATGGGCTGGTCCAACCAGACTGGTCTGATCAGCAGGACAGATGCATTGTCACAGTGTCACTGCAGACGGTTGTGCTTTTTTGGAGGTAGCGCGCTTCATTCGGGCGATGGAGTTCCCGCCGTTTGATGGTGCAGCCGTGCTCGTGGACGGCAAACGAGTGCTGGTCGACTCCGTCGAGGAGATCTCTGATGGCTTGCCGTGTCAGAGCCGAAGAACACTGCCTCACCGTGTTGAGGCATATCGCAGCCTGATGCGCGGCGCTGGTGCAGCGCCTGTTGCTTGACAGCAAAGCCGAGGGCTTGGTGAGACTTGAGGCTGGTAGTTTAGCTCAGGAGCCAGCTCCGCAAAGTTCGTGAGTTCTGAGCTTGGCATGGATGTTTGGAGCAGTTGGTGGTTGTTTCGACCTGCTTCACGAAGCTGCGAGGTGGCTCGACCAGACGACGCGCTGCGAGAAGAAAAGATGCTCGATTTGCCTCTGGGCAACCTGTGAGCTGAAGTGATGTTGCTGTGGTCACAGATTCATCTCTGGAGCCTCGGCTGATATGGAAGCAAGGCGAAAGTAAATGTCGTCTCAGCAACTGCCGTGTCCAGAAACGTCAGCATCTAGTGAGTGTAGTGTGTACAAGTAGTGTGTACAACATCAAACCACGGGCATTACTTCCAGTTCTGAGCTTAAGCTTAAACCGAAGGGAAAAGTTGCTACCCACCAATCGACATGCCCGGGAGCCATCAGATGTAGCGTCTCTATGCGGATGGTTGGCGGGTATCATGTGATTCTGCCGGCATGCTATGGGCAGGAATTTCAATCTTGTCCGGTCCGAGCTTCTGCAAAGAGTCGCTGAGCCGCAAAGTAGGACGCGATTACGACAGCCTCGGGGATGCCATCCCCGATCAAGAAGCACCAATCCCCAGGCTGCGCCAGGCAGGTACTGCCCGTACTCTGCAGATTCACTCAGCACCATCCCGAGTTTTTACACGGTGAGTTCGGAGGCTGGCAGATCATGGGGACACCTCACAGATCCAGGCTGGCTTACCTGATGTCCTAGCCTGCTAGATCCAGGCTTGTTGGCGGCTCTGACTGAGGCTCAGCGATGTTGCCAAGGCGGGAATCGTGGCGGCCCGATCTTGTCGCTTCATGAGAGCAGTCTAGTCTACCGAGTCTACTGCTGCGTGTCCCAAGGTCCGATGACTGGGCGATGCCTTCCCGGCTGCCTCACTCCTTGGGCTACCAGGAGCCAAACGCAAAGTGACACAGTGCAAGCGCCTTCAAGCGCCTCGCGAGTCACTCGAGGATGTGAATCTTGGAGTTGTCCCTGGGCAGGTGCTTGGATGCAGTTTCAGAACCACAGGTTAGTCGATCAACATCGCCCCTGTATCCTCACAGGTGTATCCTCGGTCCTTCACGCTCAGCTCAGGATACGAGGTGCTGCTGAGCAACGCCGATCATGCCCCCCCCTCCCAATCGATTCAGCCTCGTGCCAGGTGGACCCCACACTTCGATTTGCGGGATCCCGCGATGGCGAGCTGTCACCAATACGCGACTTCTGGCAGCAAATAATCCTACTCATTTTCAGTAGAGGTATCTTGTATGACAGGAAACAAGTCACGGTGTCGAGTCACAGTGTTCTGCAGACTCCCACGGCCTTGCAATTTGAGCCTATCCCTTTTCTGAAGATCCAGTGTCGGGACTCTGAGGCAACTTCGGTGATGAGATCAGCATCACCACTGACGACCGTCTATAGTCTGCCAGCACAGGCCGTGTGTAACGGTTCTTTCCAGCTGCTCGCAGTCATAATTTAGATAGGGCCTTCCTTGTACCACCAGCACAGCTCGCCCCACTTCACGGGCGCGCCTGCATCCTTGGAGCCTTCGTGGGCCGTTGGGGGCCATCCAATCTCCAACAAGGGTGGGCGCAGGCGCAGGTCGGTATAACGAGGGCCGGGAGTTGCAGCGTGCAGGGGGAAGCAGGTCGAGGCAATTGAAGATACAACAAGCAAACTGAGAACACCACTGGCGTCCTCCCAAGCAGCACCGCTCACACTTTCGATGGAGGTTTATACAAGACAGCCGAGCCCAATCGCTTCGGTTTCAACCAGCGGCTGCGGCCTCACCACTGCCTTGACATGAGGTCCAAGTTCAATTGGCTGACTGAGGCTACTGCAGTGAGCAGTGAGCGTGGGACGTATGGGATGCTTGATGCGAGGCTTGTCAGTCACTCGCCCGGCCTACACTGGGCCCGTGGAGGCACGCGACAGAGTGGTTTCGAATGTTTTGGCAACCGCTTCGGTAATTGTGCGAAGGCCACTTCTTATTCCTATACACAGGTGCTTTCCTCGGGGCACGACCATGGCATGACATAGGACAGACATCTGAGAAAACAGGGCTATAGCACGGTTTCGTTTGTTCGCTCCGGTGACCCTCCAGCGGCAGATTTGCAACCAAACATCTCACGCACCCCCACGAAAGCCAAAGCTTGCCAAATGCAGAACAGTCACGCTGACGCTTGCCAAGGTGGCTGCACCCAAGTCTTTCTCCCAAGGCAAGTACCTGTCGTGGTCCCCAGGCAGGGAGTACAACTGCCTGCTGTGCTCGGGAACGCCACGAGCTCCAGAAGCCTTTCCCGAGGCTCAGGCTCGTGGACAAACTATTCATCAAGCGACAGGGCCGGGGCCGCCAGGGCAGTGGGTGATCTTTGAAAGATCGCGGCTCACTGCTTGACTTGCATTCGCCTGGAGGCTGGAGAGTGTGGGCGGAGCGAGGGCGCACTCAGCCACCTTCTCCGCAACAAGCCTAGGGCTCGTGGTTCCCGAGGGTGATCGTGCCAGATTTTCCGAGGCTCCGCCAGAGCAAACGTGGGAGACTAAGCTCGACAGCAAAGTTCGAGGATGGGGGTCTCCTAGGAGTTACCGGGCAGCGGGCGCGCAGGCTGGCAAGCAGGAGAGCGTCGACCAGCAAGGTGTCAGCTGAGATCAGCTGAGCTTTCAGGCTAGAAGACTTGTGCTTTCCATGATGGCAAGGGGTGCCACAAAAGAGCAGCTTGCCGTCCGGTGCTGAGATAAACCTGTTCTCCACGGCACCTATCTCTTCTCTCTCTCTCTCTCTCTCTTGCGGTTGGCTCGATTGCTTGCTGCCCGTTCGTCGTAGAACTGCGACAGGTCTGTCGACTCCTTGGCGAGTGCTCCACGGCCACTGCCGCTCTCGTTGGGCCAGCCGCCGGCCACGGCTCAAGCCGAGGCTAGCAAAGGGTGCGCGCATGTCAAGCGCAATTCGCAGAGGTCCGCGTTTCACAGCAAACTGAGGCATATCCTGCTGTGCGATATTACGCGGCTGGCTTGACTGATAGCCAGCAGCTGCAGACGGTGGCGGCTTTGGGTACTACCTACGCCGCGGCACCACTTCCGTGCGTGACTTCGGCTGCATACCGACACGCCACCTTGTTTGTTTTTTCACAGGCTGAGCTGCATAAACACATGTTTTCTGCACGATTCCATGAGCCTAAGGCAAGTGTCTCAGCGTCTGCGACGGCATCTCGGTCGTCTTTCCAGAGACTCCAGGCCTCAGCCTCGGCTGCTTTAAGAAGCCATGCTTCACCCCGTCATTGCATTTGGTGGGGCTGTCTCTGTCTGTCTCTCTCTCTCTGTCTCTCTTCGTGCGCTTTGCTGCCCGCTTTTGAAGCTCCTTCACACTGTTGCTCCTCTTTAGCCACTGTATCACTCAGTCCTGTCTTTCCGATTACAGATCAAGGTTTGCTCATCTTGCTCCTCTCACTGCTACATGAATTGGCGTGAGATTACAGCAAAGTTCGAGGATGGGGGTCTCCTAGGAGTTACCGGGCAGCGGGCGCGCAGGCTGGCAAGCAGGAGGGCGTCGACCAGCAAGGTGTCAGCTGAGATCAGCTGAGCTTTCAGGCTAGAAGACTTGTGCTTTCCATGATGGCAAGGGGTGCCACAAAAGAGCAGCTTGCCGTCCGGTGCTGAGATAAACCTGTTCTCCACGGCACCTATCTCTTCTCTCTCTCTCTCTCTCTCTCTCTGTCTCTCTCTCTCTCTTGCGGTTGGCTCGATTGCTTGCTGCCCGTTCGTCGTAGAACTGCGACAGGTCTGTCGACTCCTTGGCGAGTGCTCCACGGCCACTGCCACTCTCGTTGGGCCAGCCGCCGGCCACGGCTCAAGCCGAGGCTAGCAAAGGGTGCGCGCATGTCAAGCGCAATTCGCAGAGGTCCGCGTTTCACAGCAAACTGAGGCATATCCTGCTGTGCGATATTACGCGGCCGGCCTGACTGATAGCCAGCAGCTGCAGACGGTGGCTGCTTTGGGTACTACCTACACCGCGGCACCACTTCCGTGCGTGACTTCGGCTGCAGTTGGACACAGCTAGAGGGGTCAAGTGGAGCTTTGGAGGATTTTAGTCGAAAGATTCACAGGAACTCTGGCAAGCTGCAATTCTATGAGGAAGAACATGGCACGATATGAGGCTTGATCAGTGGGCTTTTCGGAGAATCAACTCGTTCACTGCGTAGTTTGTGGATGTGTTGCTGTTGCAGGAACATGTACAGAAGATACACACTCACGTTTGCGGGCAAACAAAAGAAATGCCGCAGACAGCCAAGGCAACCTCATCTTTGGCACCGTGGGCAGCACATGCGCCAGTCGCAACCGTCCAAGCCCAAGTCCATGAACTTGGGCCTGCGTGTTCGTAGCCCGAATTATAGTATAGTGCATACAGTATCAGATAGCATCAGTATACATTACCAGTATAATGGTATATTGCATTATGGTTGTCGTCTACTATGTGTATTGCAAAATGCTCCGGAGGCGACACGTACTACTATCGCGCTTCACATTCTGGTCGTGCGTATCATTCCGGCCGAATTTTTTGCCATGGAGGAGTAGGAGATCTTGGACAATTACAGTCGCATGTCCAAGTACTCTGCAGAGCGATGCACCAGCCGTAGCCGTCCAAACTCGCACGAGGCCTTCCCACAAGTGCCTGGAATCGCAATTGTTGGAAACCCATGGCACACACCAGCATACACATGCCACTCATACACACTCTCGGAGATACGATATCCTACGCACCCTACAAACAACAAAGCTTGTCCTGATTGCGAGAGGGCGGGGACTGGGTGTTGAGTGAGTAGGTGTGTGGGGGGCGGGGGGGGCTTTCATAATGATGACATTCCAGCCGCCGCAGAGCTTAGCTGTCTCAATACCGGAGCCGGTGGCATTCCCCAGCGACACGATGGATCGGATCAAGAAGCAAAGCCCAAGGCCCAAAACAAGTCGCAAAGTTCTTTTTGCAGCCACTACGCGTGGTCCGCAACCTGTGAGAAAAAGAGCGCAAAATTAGCCCAAAATGAGACGATCTTTACCGAGAGGGAGGCTGCTGACGCAATTGTCGCCCCCAAGCTTCGCTTTTGGCAGTGGTGCCTGACTCCCCTTCCCAGGGCAGCCACGTTAGATCCATTTCGTGGTCACCGTGCAGGGCTCTCAGCAGGTCTATTTTGGATTGGTGACTGCCGCGCCCTGTTTGATTTCCGAGGTACCGTGACAGACTTGCCAGTGCCTGCGGCCAGCCAGGACGGAAGATCGAGTCAATCGCCCAAGACCCTCTCTAGTTTGGATTAGTTTCACCTCGGGGTGTCCAGAGTCCGAGTCATCGCCTGTGCATCCTCGATTGAACAGGACGGTTGGCTCGCTCAAAACATCCCTGCAAGTCGCAGCCCTAGACACCACATGTGCATCGTGTTCTCTGCCGGACAGTTTGCGGCACACTTGTCGGATCTTGTCGGGGCCCAGGTAGTTCACCTCTGCCTCCACGCATCGGAAGCGTGAGCCCAATGAAGTGCGTCTTGGCAGCAGCTTGTTGACTGGAATCTCCGTCTCATGCTTGCGATAGTATCGATCAATGTCCAGGTTTGCCTGTGGGATGTACCAGACGTGAATGGGCGCCCGAGGCGCACAGTAGCATGGTAGCATGGCGTTGAGGCGTTGTTTCCAAGCCACGCCACGTACCGCTCGGAGTAGCTAACGCGTTGACATGCCCTTCCTTTTCAGCAAGCCCTTCCTTGTCAGCACGTCTTAGGAAGGTTGTTGCAGCCGGAGCTAATCACGTAGCCACCTTTGCAGGTTCTGGCTTAAGACTTAGTCCAACGATTGGATGCTGCCGCAGTCGGAAACAGCACGAAGGCTTTTAAATGTTAGCCTCAAGGGCAGGTTTCGAAAGTCGGAAGAAGTCTGCGTTGTTTTACGCCATGGACCACAGTCATTGAGCTCCTAGAAGGTAGTGTTGCAGGCTGATCTCGAGAATGCCGCCTGATGTCGAGCCTACAGTCACGTGCAGCGTGTTCACCGCGACGCTTAAGTCTTGATCGTTCAAGGTGCCGCGGTCGCTTCAGGGCAGCCTTTCGAGATGTGTGTCGTGGTCACCAGGACGGGGTTGTGAAGCAGAGGGCAGCTTAAACTCGCTGTGCGAGAACTACCGCACAGTGCTGGTACGAATAAGCTCTGGCCCAGGCAGTATTCATAGGGGAGCCGCAGCATGAGCAAGGGAGGTTCGCAGGTCAGAAATTATCATTGGGGTCCATGGTTCAGGCTGGAGCATCGAAGGTTCTGAAGGTTCTTCAGGTTCCCAGGCTCCACGAGTGACAGTTGAGGCTTACCCGGTGCTTCCAGATAAATTCAGATCCATCGGCAATTCGGAAACTGCTTGCTTGACCTCTTCAGATACCATGGTGGTAGAGCCGGTGCCCATGGACAGCCAGGCGGGCTGAATGGCTGAATCTACCCACCCCGCTTTGTTCCATTCTAGAATGGCCAAGGCACTGCCTTATTCCAAGGACCCCTCGGTCACAGCCTGAGCATGTTCACGGCTGGAAAGGTCCTGGACAGATAGCAGATAGCTTCATCAGGATGCCTGGTTCGCTCCAAACACTCTGGCGAGTCTCTGCCTCGGACACCTCTCAGCACCGAATGCTTTATGTCTTTGTCTTTTCGCTGCATCACGGGCCCAGGCAGTTCATCTCTGCCTCCACGCATCGGGAGCGTGAGCCCACTGAAGTGAATCTTGGCGGCAGCTCGCTGACTCTAATCTCCATCTCATATGACAGACCGAAGGCCTGCCTGCGGCGTACACCAGACATGAGTGGGACCCCGAGGCAGTGGACCGGACTTGTCTAAGACTCTCAGAGTTCTAGAGGGCAGAGTTACACTGGCACCGGCAGGCAAAAGGCCAGGCTCCGCATCCGCCCCCGGCCCAAGCGGCCCAATGCCCAGAGGGGGGCCCCTTGCAATCCGCCCCATGAGGAGCTTTGCGTTTGTCTTCTGAGGTGCCGAAGGCGGCGAACTTTCCGCAACTCTTGGCTGAGGCGAGAAGCAGGCTGCAGCAGAAGGCCGGACAGAGAAAGCGGGAGACCTAAGCGACATCCTTGTTGGTTGTAAGAGTCATTGGGAGTGATGACAAACGATGGCTGCGATGCAGCATACTATATCAGACCCAAGCAGGGAAGGCGCTGTTGTATTGGTGAAACCGGTAGGACTTGAGACAGTCGACAGCAGATTGACATGTTGAGCTTCGCTTCGACAGTCTGCAGAGATCTGCAGAGGGCATGTGGTTGGCGAAGCCTGCAACCAAACGAAGAGTTGTGCAAGCGCAAGCCAAGCCGGAAGGTAGCTGCCGCTGCGGCTGTTCTCGACGTCTACGATGCCTGCAGACCCAGTCGTGGACAGAAATTGAAGATCGTGAGTGACTGAGCACCTGTCTAGGTGAAACAACCCAACGCAGAAGTTCCGGCACCCATGGAGGCGGAGGGAGCAAGCTGCCTAAGCACGCTTTCCCCCAGCCAGTCGGGAGCTGAGGCGCAAAGTTGTGTCTTCAGTTCTTCAAAAAAGAAGGCTGAGAGAAGAAGAGAGAGATAGAGAGAGAGAGAGAGAGAGAGAGAGAGAGAGAGAGAGAGAGAGAGAAAAAAGGAAGCATCGAGAGCCTTCGCCGAATCCTTCGTCGCGTCGCGCTGAGGTCGAGCCCAGCGACATCCCCTGCTCCCATCACAAGCACGAAGAAGCCCAGCAGTGGCCTGGCCAAGCTAAAGGCACCTCTCGGAGCCATCTCCGGGGAGTAGGACGTTGCTTTAAGAGAGCGCAAGCAAGCCGAAGCCGGGAGTCCAGCGGCTCAAGCCTTGCCCGGCGGGGGAGCACATCGGCCTCGGAACATGTGGCTTCTGAGAAGCCTCATCCTGCCCCTTCTTGTTCGGCAAGCTGCATGCATACATACCAATCCTCTGCTTCCACTCAAAAGCTTCGGGGTCTGGCGGCAAGAAAGCGAGTCGGCCAGGCCATCAACACTAAACTGCACTTGGCGTGATTTCCAGCAGAAAGTCGATCATTTTGGAACTTTTTCGGGAACATTTGCGCAGCGCTACTGTGTTTTCGACAAGTGGTGGAGACCAGCACTGCAGAGTGGCTTCAATGCTTCGTCCGCGTCTCCAGGACCTATTTTCTTTTACACAGGGAACGAGTCACCGGTCGGCGAGTATGTCAACAACACAGGTTTGATGTGGGAGCTGGGAGAAAAGATGGGTGCGCTACTCGTTTTCGCAGAACACCGATGCGAACCTGATTCGCATCCGATATTCAAAGGCGACAGCTGCCCGAGATGCGTATCATACTGCACAACAGCACAGGCATTGGAAGACTATGCAGCCATCATGTCACAGCTGCGGCAGCAGCATGTGCAGCGCGCGCCTGTCATTGTCTTTGGTGGGAGCTATGGGGGCATGCTTTCCGGATGGATGAGAATGAAATACCCAGAGGCCTTGACCGAACATAAACTGTATGAAATTGCTAGGTTCTTAGCAGCGCTAGCGCTAGGAAGCCTCGAGCTCTGAGGTCGTGGACGGTGCCATTGCGGCATCGGCACCGATCTGGCAGCTGTCTACCACAGTCACGCGAGAGACCGTTGATTGGCCAGCTGTGGCGATCAGCCGTGGCCTATCCTCAGCAGGAGGATCCTCTGAGAAATGTCTGGCGAATTTGCAAGTAGCCTGGCCGCTGCTTCGGGGCCTCGAGTCTCCTGTCGCTCTGCAACTCCTAAGTCGGCGTTTGAACACTTGCACTCAGCTTGAAAGCATCGAAAGCTTGACTTCGTGGGCGGCTGCCTCATTCTTCCTGTTGGCCGAGGGCAACTATCCATATCCATCGTCCTACATAACCTACGCAGTCGGGTCCGGATCCGCACTTCCAGCCTGGCCGATGAGGGTAGCCTGCAGAGGCTTGAGCAAAGACTTCGGAATCGATGTGAAAGGATCGCGTTCAGATGTGAACTACACGGCAAGGATGGGAGCTCTGCAGGTCACGGTGGATTGGACTCGCTGGTGGAGCAACGAAGAGCAACTAACCAAGGAGGAACTTCAGGCATCTAACATTTTGGAATTGGCTGCCGCGGTCACAGATGCTGCAGGAGTTTGGTACAATGCCTCCGGGGAGCAGTCATGCTGGAACATTAGCTCTGGGGATTCTCAAGTACCCCCACAGACTCGGCAAGGCAAGAAACTTGCCCGGGCCAGTGCGGCCCGGGCCCCTTCGGCCGCGTCCTGCTCTGCTTGCCCTCCTTGCCCGAGCTGCCCAGCCTGCCCGGTGTCGCGCTGCGCCAGTTTCGAGCCTCCGTGCAACTTCACTGGACAGGTGCCCAAGACCTTCTCCTGGGATGCCATCGTTTGCAACGACGACCTCTCTCAAATCTCCGCACAAGGCCAGCACATGAGTGTCAAAAATGGTGAAACAGTGGATGCGCTGTATGTAATAATGCGCTGCTATTGAGTTTGCTCGCTCACCAGGCTTGGGCAGGGATTTATACTGGCCACCAAGCGTGCCCTTCCGGAACTTTACGGTTGCAAGCATGGTTGGGCCACACCAGCTGGTTCCGGCCAGCTGTACCGAGCACTTCAATGTGATGGGACTCCGAGGTCAGGGCTGTAACATCTTACAGCTCCGGTTCGACATCACACCCTTACAGCAAGCAGCCTGCTTTCAAATCTGTATACTTCTTAAGTTAAATGGTGCGAACCGATTGGTAACTCCGGAGCCGCTGAAAGTAAGTAACTTAAGTAGCTGCCAGAATAGCAAAACTACTGAAGTAGACCGCGCGGCAGCGAGCTACTTAAGCCAGAAGAGCGGGCGGGAATGAGCAATAACAGGAGCGCCTGTGACGACGGACCCCTGGAGTGGCTGGCTGACGGCATACTATGGAGGGCGGGATGTTTCCCAGCACCGGAACATCGTTTGGAGCAACGGCGCCCTGGACCCGTGGTCGGGCATGGGGGTGTATCCAGAAGGTGGCGGTCCCGATGGCCCTTTCATTCAAAACATAAGCAGTGATGGATCCCAGATCGCGTTGGTGTTGGACTTAGGCGCACATCACTTGGACCTCATGTTTTCGGACAGTCGTGATCCACCATGTGCACCGGCTGCACGTCGCGTTGAGTCTGAGATGATTCGGAGATGGTGCCATGAGGCTTACTCCAAGCACCAGGAGTCCATTTTCAGCTGAGCGCTTCTTTGTGTGACGGCCGACGCATGCAGAAAAGCTCTCTTGATTTCGTGGGGAACGGGCGCCAGCTGAGCAGAGCCAAGACCGATCAAGAGCCCAGATTGCCGGGCGCCTGTGGTCGGAATTCTCCTTGCAGGCGCTGTTGGCAGAGAGCAAGCTTGAGGAGCCTGCAATACGGAGGTAGGGAACACACGCTGGAGCAGAAACCACGTGCCTGCTGAAAGTTCCTGGACTGCAAGGCCCAGTGACACCTTGGAGCTCTCACTCAAGGTGCTGCCGAAGCCAGAGGCCGGAGGAAACGTGAAATGCCGGACATCACTCATGAGCTGTCTCGGCGCAGGCGATTCAGTCGCGCTCGGCTTGGATTCTTTGGATTCCTTGCCATGGCAGTGAGCTGCTTTTCGTGGCCTTGATGCCACAGCTCGGTCTGAGGAACCTGAGCGGCCGCCCTGGCACCCAAACGCCGCTGCCGCTGCCGCCGCTGCCTGCGCTACCTTCCAGGTATTTCACTCCACCCCGGGTGTCGCCCGGCTGCCTCGGGGTCTTCTCTGCTGGCTCCAAGATTTGCAGCTCAGGACAAGCGACCTGCTGACGCTGTCAAAGTCCGAATCGTGGGGGCGGCCGGGGCCAGTTACCGACTTCGTTGGCTTCAAACAGTCGTGAAGCTTGCATGGCAGGCTGGACGGACCTGGGGAGGCGTGACCGCTCATGGGCGTGACATCTCCCCGGAAACATCAAAGCATACTGAGGCCAAAGACTTCGAGGGGAAAACGCCATGCTCTGTAAGCTCGGGCACTACAGTGGATCCGCAAAGACTCTTCCGCATGGATCAGGACTGTCTTTACTCATGCTGTTGGTTGGCTCCGACAGAAGTGCCCTGGGCTCTCGGAAGTGCCTCTACGTTGTCATGAGGAGTCGGAGTTTGATCTTGCAACCCAGAAGCCTAAAGTGGAGTTCAGCCAGCAGCCAGCCTCTCAGCGTAGTGCCGTAGGTGGGCCGGTAGGGCCGTCGACCTTCGCAGGGAGCGCTGCAGACTGCTGAGGCCCGAGATGGCAGCGTCGGATTCAGGCGGGGAGAACAGAGCAGCTCTTGGTATCAAGGCAGTTGCAACGATATTGCAACCTCTTTGATGGCCTGTTCTCCGAATTGTCTGGTCGAGAACCTGTTCTTGGCAGGGCTTCAGCTGCCGACAGAGCCAGTCACGGCGAGCTTTTGTCAATCCAGGCGGGTGAGCTACAACGATGGGATTAATCCGCACAGCCGCTGTGAAAAGAGACAACTAGCAACAGACCGGTGCTATGCCGGTACCGCTGTATCGTGTCGAGAAGCACCAGGCCGTCTTGGACTCCTCCAGCTTGTCCAGTGAACGAGAGGGTGCCATGCTCGGGCATGCCATGCTTCTTTCAAGTAAAGCAGGCCGGACCGGTCCGTTGTGTTTGATCAGGGTGCTCCAGATCCCAAACCCACAAGGCAAGGGCCTTTAGATGGCAGCACGGCGGAGACAGCAGAGTTCTTGTCGCTGTGAGGAGCCAGTCAGTGCCGACAGGGCTCGACTTGGGCCAGCGGGAGGTGGCTGAGGCGCCATTTCTGGTTTGCGCGCTTGTTCTGTGCCCTGTGCATCGCATACGTTACCCGTACCCCTCACGCGATCTATTGAAGGAGAAGGAGAAAGATGGAGATACAAGCAATCCTAGAGGTGCCTCGCTGTGCAAGTGGCTGCATGTGGCTTCATGATTTCGTCGGTCACGGTTGCAAGAAATGCTAAACTTCTGAACAGGTGCTGGAGACATTGCTGGGGGATGGTCTCACTTCAAAGCCAAGGCACAGATTTCCCAGTCCACTCCAGTTCGCACGCAGGCTGCATTTGGGTCATCCTTGTTTTGCAAGGCGGCGCTGCATGCCAGTGACCTGCTGCTTGAACGCAAAGGCAACGTTCTCGCAGCTTAAGCTTGGCCTTTGTGTTTTTGTTATGAATTGACCGCACAGTTTGTAATTGCTACAGGGCTGCTTGGTACAGGGCCAAGCTATGAACTGCAAGTCCAGAACACATGGATTCACGGTTCATGTCGTATTCGTTAATTTATGGACCGAACTGGCTGCCTTTGTCAGCCAGTTGATGCTCAGCCTGAGAGGTAAAAGTAGATGCAAGACATCCAGAGTAGGTTGACGCTACGGCAGCAGAACCCCTGAGTTTCTGCACCCTTGAGCGGTTTGACCCGCAGCATCAAGCTTCGGCTCGAATGTTTGTGCCACATCTCACTCAATGACAGATCCTCGCTGAGCCTGGTGGACCGCGCGCTTTTGATACTCTAACGGGGATGCTTGCAGGTTTAGCTCAACAAGTTGCTTCAGCTTCGGACCTGACTCCGCGAGGAGCTCGCGACGTGGATGGGCCAGGGCCCCAAAAGAGCCCCTGCTGCCAGCGGGGCTTTGAAGCCTTGAAGCCGAGGTTCGCCTTTCTCAGTCTGCGAGCCGCCGGAAGGGAAGCAGTCCCCCGAAGCCCGGGTGATACGGATGATAATGCAGATGATAGGGAGGTGTATAGAGGCGAAAAGGGAGGCATTCACGAGTTTGAACCGGACCCAAGGAGTATCACACCGATGCCCTCGTCTACCGTCCCGGAAGCCGGGCTAGTTGTCCTCCGAGACCGAGCAAGGGCTCTGCGCGTGTCCTCGAGTCTGTGCAGGTGACGTCTCCCCGCAGCGGCGCCAAGGCGGCCGCGGTCTCGGAACTGACTCTGACTGGCTGTTTTCCAGAAATCTGCGTGACTCACAAGACTGCATGCGTTGCCGGGCCTGAGGCTTCCTCGCTCCGCGGGCGATGGCCTCATAAGCTTCGGAGACCTGGGACACCCCTTGAGCAACGCTGAGGCAGAGGTGAAGGTGGCGACGGCACCTCGGCCTGCCCTGGCCTTGGGGACTTACGAAGACTTTGTTTGGGTTTAAGCCGGCCTTGTGGAGCTTGCAAGGCCGGCCATCACTCCGAAGCAGGACTCTCTCAGACTCAAGCTGCGACTCCCTGTGTTACGTGCAATGCATGAGAACTGCTGTCATCTTTACTGCATGCAGTTCATGCTCGTTCCTTTCTGCTGCAGTCGCTCCGACGGCTCCGACGGCTCCGACGGCTCCCATTGCTGTCGGAGCCCAAGGCACCTTACAGGAAGGCTGGCCGAGCATCGTTCAGAGAGGGTGAGCCCAGGCAGCACCGGCTTATGGAGGCTGCGGGCAAGTACCGGGGGCTTCGATCTTCCTGAGAGCCACCCAGACAGCTTCAAGTGCAGGTCCGGTTGAAGGCGTCCTGCTCGATGCTCGTGCGGATGGCAAGGGTGGCGGCAGGCGAAATGATCCGAACAGGTGGGCTTCTGGTCACATCTGGCTGGGATGATTCAGAACTCTTCTTCAAATGCCTTGACAGGAAGCTGAGAGTGGAGGCAGGTCCGAGTACATCAGGGGAGAGCTGAGACTGAGCGGCTCTCGTGGATCTGCAGATCTCCGAGATGAACTACAAGATGCGAAACACGTGGGCTGTACCGCCCACGCGCTACTTCGCGTTCAGAGAGGTCATGAAGGCTCAGGCGCCGTACTGCGAGCAAGACAGCCTCCGAACTTGGATTGACTGGCATTTGTGAAGGTGATACCTGTGGTGAAGACACCGAATGCGGGTAGCCCAGTGCCTTGCGTAGGAGAGCTTGTGAAACAAGCCGAAAGAGTGTCTCATACACAGCAGGTAGTGTCAGGGCTAATGATCCGGGCAAAGTGGTTTTCAGCAAACACGGGATGATCTACATGAATGATTTCGGAGCATACGGAGCCGGAGCACATGCCGCACGGAAGATCGGCAGACGAAGAGCAGCAAAGCCAAAAGTTATCATCATAAAATAGGTGGTTCCGTTCGTGCTTCGTTTCAATTAGAACAAACACCCTTTCGCTTTGTTACATTGTTCCATTAAAATAAGCACTCTCTTCATAATGTAATGAGTGAATGAAGGGTAAGTGAAAGTCGCTTCGAGGTAACTTTCTCGAAGTGGTCCACAGCAGATGCCCCTGCCTTGGAGATCTGCAGTGATGTAGAAAGAAACTATCGACGTGGTCCGTGGTCTTGCAATCCTTCAACCAAAGCACGGCTTTCCTGCTGTCGATGAAGAGTGCTTTCCCAGCTGGAACCCCTGTTGTCCACGGGCCGGCTTGGCGATCCAACTGCGTTCTATCCAAGCTGCAACTGTCGTGAGTCAATTTGTCTCTGCTCACTTGTGCAGTGGTCTTACATGTCTTATGCTAGTTTCAACCGTGGATGCCTCAGCCGGCTTGAGTCGAGTGAAAAGCTGCCAATTGATTTTGGTAGCGGAGCAAGGCTCCTGCTGTAGCTACGTGCGCCATAGGCGCCCTCGCTGCTGCGACGGCGGTCTTCGGACCAGCACCCAGGACAACATCTTCTTCGACGACTTCCTCTACGAGATCCGTCTTCGGACACACGTGCACCACGAACACGTGCACCACGACTGCAGCAAGGCGGCTGCTTTCTTTTCTCCTGTGCCTTGGTGGCTTCTGGCTGTCAACAGCTTTGGCTCTTGGCGGTTCGGCGGCCATCGGTGCACGAGCCCTACAGCACGAGTTCGGTCCAGGCCCTCGCGTTGATTCTCCGCAAGGCCTATTACACGACCAAGCTCGAGCCCTACTACCCGACGACCGGGACACGCGACAGAGATGACGACGCCACAAGCAGGCGGAGTGCCACTGGACGAGTGGCGGAAAGACGTGCCGCCAGGCTGGAAGCCTGGTGTGGAGAACTACCCGCTGAAGACCTACTTTGCAAAGTTGAAGTTGTGGTACCGTTGCTGTGAGGTACCGGACGAGGTGATCGGGCCGCTGATCGCGGGACGGCTCCAAGGACGTGCTCAACGGATCGCCCTGGAGCTCAAGCTGATCCGGCCCGACGGCAACTTTGATCATGGAGATGCTGCGCTCGTGAGATTGAGCGTGGACGAAGTGCTGGACCCCAACGACGGGGTCACTGTCTTGCAGGCCCACATTCCCTCGGGGGTCCAGGCTTTGTGCAATGCCCTCCGGGACGCCTTCGGGGACACAGACGAGGCTCAGACGACAAAGGCCCTGGAGACGTTCTTTGAGCATAAGCGACCTCACGGGCAAGAGCTTCAGGAGTTTGCCGCGGAATGGGACCTGAGGTACGAAGATGCGAGAAGCAAGGCAGGCTTGGACATGAATGCGGTGGCGAAGAGCTACCTGTGGCTGAAGCAGAGTGGGTTGTCGCAGAAACACCAGGATGATCTGAGGCTTCAAGTTCACGGAGACCTGAGCCGCTTCAACGAGATCCGCGGCTTGGCTGTGAGGCTTTCTCACAGAGTGGACAGGGCCGGGAACACCGGCGACGTGTTCTACGAGGAGACTGACTCCCAGTGGGACCCTGAGGAGATCTACTGGAACGACAGCTGGTGGAGCGACGACTCTTGGTCCTATGTCGAGGAGCCCTACGGCGATGCTACATGGTATGGCGAAGAGGAGTTCTACGAGGCCTCTGAATGGCCCGGCGACCCCACCAGTGAACCTGGATATCAAGGAGAAGATCAACCTTCGGAGGACCCCGAAGGCATCTACAGTGCTGGTGGAAGTCGCGGAAAAGGAAAAGGCAAGGGGCCCTTCGGCTCAGGCTGTTACATCTGTGGCAGCAAGTGGCATAATGCAGCCGACTGCCCTGTGAACTCCAACAAGGGCGGTTCCCCAAAAGGGAAGAGCAAAAGCAAAGGCAAGGGCTTCGGCAAGGGCAAGAGTTTCAGCAAGGGCAAAGGCAAAAGCAAAGGAAAGCAGAAGGGCTATGGCAAGGGTTCTTGGAACAGCCCTCATGGGCCGAGGTCATGGATGCAAAGATACTACGCGGACTACGACGAGGACGGCTTCTACTACAATGACACCAACCAGCTGCGTCACGCACGGCAAGGGCTTTCTCTTGGAGACTCTCCCAAGAGGCAAGCTCCGAGCGATGGCGCAAAGTACTTCAACATTGCCAAGGACACGGCCGGGAAAAGCGAGTACTTTGAGGACCTTCTCAGTTTGGAGAGAGCAGCCAGACCTTCCCCCGAGGCTGCTACATCCTCGGAAGATCAGCCCGCGCAGATGCCGAAGAAGACTATCGACTTCTTCTTCCGCAAGACTGAGGAGCACACGGGCGAGGACACGATCGAGAGGCACCAGACCTTCCACGGCAACGACAGCGAGCTGGAGGTCTACCACACCGTCGGTGGCCAACGGCGACGAGGCCTGGTCATCGACCCAGGTGCTGCCAACGGCCTGGTTGGCTCAGAGACTCTGCGGGATCTGTTGGAACATGTGATTCCGCAGGCGCCCGTATGGACGGCCAAGAAGAGCGAGGTCACCGGCATCAGCGGCGAGGCCGACAGCACCCTCGGAGAGGTCAAGGTTTCGCTTCCCAACGTGAACGGCCTGGAGGACGCCAACTACCGAGCCGACGTCATAGGTGGCAATGCGAGCATGTGTCCAGCCCTCGTCGGAAACCCTTCATTGGTGAACATGCGGGCCATCATCATGGCAAGCTGGTTCGAGAACAAGGACGGACTGCTGGCCATCCCGAACCAGGACGGCAGTTTCCAGATGATACGGCTGCTGTTCACTGACTCGAAGCACTACCTCCTTCCGCTGGACAACGACGAAGAGAACAAAGTGAACCCTGCCGAGGAGACGAAGGTGAGAACGTTCGTCTCCACAGCCTACCAGGAGTCAACTAAGAAGTGGCCCGATGTGAGATCTTGGTTCACATGGGCGACGACGGCAAAGCCAAAGCGGAGTCAACCGGATTCCGACAGGTCTGTGAAAGCGGAGAAGAAAGTTTTCTTCGATGAGACGCCATCACCAACAGCTACCGTGGCAACACCAGCAAACACCACAGAGGACACTGGGGAGATCAGCGTGATAGATGATGTAGATGAGACACCATCACCGACAGCTACCGCAACACCAGCAGACACCACAGAGGACACTGGGGTCGAAAGTTTTAGTACGTCATGTACCACGTCACACCCTGGTCCTTCTGATGCTACGTCATGTACCACGTCACACCCTGAGAAGTCCCCGTGCTCTACTACCATCGAGGAGTATGATGTCTTCCCTGAGGCCATGAAGTTCGACCTTCCAGCCATGTATCCAGGCGACACGGTCCTACCTGATCTACCACCAGAGCAGCAAAAGTACTTGCGTGAGCAACAGCGTTCGGTCAAGGAGGAGTTCTACACGAAATCAGGTCGCACCGTGGTCAGGCCCGAGAACTACTACCAGTGGCGAGAAACTCGCCAAGCCAGGAAACGTCCCCACTTCTGGGAGATCTGCAGCGGCTCCAGCAAGCTCACTTACACTGCGCTGCTGGCAGGTCTCGTGGTGGCCTTCCCGATCGACTACCGCTACGGCTGGAATGTCACGAACTCTGATCACCAGCGTCTGCTTCTGGAGGAGCAGGAACGGTCGAAGCCGAAGATGATTTTCTTCTCTCCTCCTGACACCTTTGGCTGCTATGGCAGGAATGATTCCGAAGGACGAGAACAAGCGCTGGCCGATCAGCAACGCATCGCCAATCTGGCGAAGGCCATGGCAATGAAACAGAGCGAGCACGGAAATGGTTTCGTCTTGCAGGGGCTCTGGAACTCAGCATGGTGGAGTTCGTCGTCTCTGGCCGGGCTGGACCACCAACTACCCGGGTTCCGGCCACGACAACGAGCTGATCTCTGTATGTATGGCGCGGTGAACGACAAGAACAAGCCTGTGCAGCAGATGGTCGGCTTCCAGGCTAACATGTCGATGAGAAGCTCGACGCATCGTTGTCGAGGTCACGGCCACAACCATGTTCCAGGCCGTGGCGAATCGACCCGGAAGTATCCAACGGCTTTGTGCAAAGCCTTGGTGAAGGACTTCAAGAAGTTCGTTGCGAAGGATGCGGAGGCTGTCTTCATCGGGTACAAGTGCCAAAAATGCGCCCTGGGCAGGAACGCGCCGCCAGGCACAGAACACACTCTTGTACCCCGGGAATGCCGACATGCAAGCAGCCTGCCGACACCTACAACCTCTACTCCGAGCAGCTCGAGCAACCAGAGACCTGAACCACCACAAGCACCGGTCCGTACAGCAGTGACCACCCCTGTTGAGGACCAACTGGAGCAGTTCAAGCAAGCCGCAATGAAGAAGCATAACCTCGATACGGTGAAAGTTCAGATGCCGGACGACATGATCATGACGGCGATTGACACCCTCATGCTGAAGAATCTCTTGCTTCAGCTTGTGGAGGACAGCGTCAACATCATCTCAGAGAGCAAGAGCAAGCACTACCACTGGAGCCAGGACCCACTTCACCTTGCCATTCTGAGGAAGCTGTTCTCCAAGGTGATGACCGTCAAGGGCGTCTGCACCTCTCTCCAGTCAGAGACCCTTCCAGTGCCCATGCCGTTTCTGAGGACCGAGTCTGCCCCACTCAGGTTGATCATTCGTGGTGAAGTCAAAGCATGGACAATCAAACCGCTGGAAGACCTGAGGACTTACACGGATGGGCAGCTCAAGGCCAAGCACTACAGCGAGGACTGGGTCATCGCGATTTTCGGTGCGGCACCCAAGGACAAGGACTACTGGGACATCGACCGTGCGCGCGGCACGGCCACACGTCATCACCTACAACCTCGCACAGCTATGTTCACCCCTCGAGAGGATGAAGGTCCAGTCTCCATTGATGAAATGGGGTCATCGCGAGTCACTATGGCAACTCCGTTCGACAAGCCCGGGCCCAAGGTGATCATCCGAGACGAATGGACCGCTCGCGACAGTTCTCGTGCAGCACTGGAACAAGGCGGGTGGACAGGGACCACCGAGTTCAAGATCAAGCTTGCTGAGGACGACGAACTGCCCTCGGCTGATCCTGTGGTCCGTGAAAGTGCTGCCCACGAGGAACAACTTGATCGCGAGGAATGTGACGATCATGGTCACCAATCACGAGATGCACCAGAAGCAGATGACGGTCCGCCAGTGGATCCTCCACGGCGAACCAACTTTGACTTCCGACGGGTGCTCGTGCGGTTACCCAGGCTAGCACGCTCGGACACCGAGCAGGCAAAACGCCTCATTTTGGGACTTCACGAACGTTTCTGGCATTCTGGAACAAGCGACTTGCAGTCTCTGTTGTCCAGAGCAGGAATGCCCTCCGAGGTGATCCAGATGGTCCCAGAGGTGGTGAGCGGATGTGCGATATGCCGCAGATTCGCCAGACTAAAGAGCAGACCGGCCGTCAAGGCTGGCCATCCAGCGTTCTTCAACGAGGAAGTGCAAGCCGACTACTTCCAGCTATGGAACCAATGGTTTCTTATACTGGTCGATGCCTGCACTCGATACAAAATGGTTTCTGCAGTTTCAGGACGAGATCTTCCCACGGCTTTGAAAACCATCTTGCAGAACTGGATCAGGTTCTTTGGGCCTATGAAGCGGATGGTTTCGGATCAAGAAAGTTGTCTTATGTCCCATGAGGCCGCCGTGGAATTTGAGAGGTTCAACATTACGAGAGAACCCGCCGGCACGTCAAGGGGAAAGTCCCAAGGGCAGCACACCACCACTGGCATCGTCGAGAAGCACACCGACCTGGCCAAGATCTGCATGCTGAAGATCAAGGCCGAGGCTGAGCGCCAAGGTTTGGATGTGACAGTGGACGACATTGCTGCGGAAGCCAGTTTTGCCCAGAATGCGAGCATCAACTTGGGTGGATACACTCCACATATGATGGTGATGGGCACGCTTCCGATGCCCTACTATGACATGGATGCTCCTGGCATACAGGCTTTCACCGGCAACGACCAAACGAACCCCACGGCCTACGAGAAGGCCCTTCGACTTCGCCAGTTGTCTATCACGGCAGCTGCACAATCCATCGCTGAGAACCGTATCGCTCGTGCCGGACATACTCGCCCTCAACGACTTCCTACGGAAGACATGAAGCCCGGCACCACGGAGATCGAGTTTCATCGCGAAGACGCAGATGGTTATGGATGGCGTGGGCCAGGCTTACTGCTGAAGCTGCAGGACAATGGCTCTGCGATCGTGGAGTACCAGGGCCGACCCTACTTGGTTCCAATGCGCAATGTGCGCATCTTCAGAGGCTCCTACTACAGCAACTTCCATGAGGAGGCTAAGAACCGGAAGGAACAGGAACTGGATTCATGGTTAGCCCTGCGGCGCTTGATGGAAAGTGTCGAAGCCTGCGTTCCCTTCCGCATCGACACCTACGGCCACGTGAAGGACCCTCATGGAAATTGGAAGATCCTCCCAAGGACCATGAACGAGCCTCAGCTCAAGGGGATCCTCGATGATGTGATCTCAGCTTCAGGTTTCCTTACCAACAAGGAGTGCCACGGCATCAAAGTTGGCATTGGACTGAAGAAGATGCTGACTCCGGCAGGAACCACTGGGACTCTGATCGCATGGAGAAAGAATACCATACGCATGACCATCATAGACAACCCGACGGGCCAGAACATGTCGACTGTGTCAGTGAGGATGGCCGGCAAGGAGGAGATGTGTTACATCTACTTCTACAGCTACGCTCCGGACTACGCCGAGGCACCTTCGTCTACTTGGCTACCACGCGGCATCCCCAACGAGGAATCACCAATAGTTCCACAAGCACCACCACCTGGACACAACAACGACGAGATACCGATGGATGTCGACGACAGTGACAACAAGCGCGATGGTCCGGACTCTCGTACGGTCACATTGGCACCCGAAACGAAGAAGCAGAGGTTAGGCTATGTGACACCACCGTCGGAACACATGTTTGAAACGTTCCTCACCATGCACCAGAGGCAACATGTTGTTGACGTGAGCAAGCTTCCACCGGAAGAACCACATGAACTACCTCCAAATGACCTCTTCAGCAACAAGGAGCCAATGGAGCCGACCTCGAGCGCCATCTTCCACATGCGCTCTCCTGGATGGCACGCGGACCTCTACAACGGCAACATCTTCCGAGTCGACTCCACCACCGACAACATTGAGGAGCACGACGTGTATGACATCTGGCCACAAGTGGACGAGGCCGACGGCAAGGAGGTTGGACAGTTTGTGACTGAAGGTGCTTTCAAGGCAGTGTCTAGAGATTCCCTTGGCAAGGACTGCGCTATCATCGATGCCATATGGGTCAGGAAGTGGAAGAAGACCTCCTCGGGACGCATCGTCAAGAGTCGGCTATGTGTCAGAGGATGTCATGACCCTTGGAAGCATGAGCTGAGCAGCCGATCCTCGACGGCCACTCGGCTGTCACAAAGGATGATCCTGGCGTCTGCGTCCAACAACGCCAAGAAGTCTTTGGAATCCTGGGACATCGCCGGCGCTTTCCTGAAGGGACTGACCTACCAAGAGTTGTGGAAGGCGCTGAAGGAGTTGGGCATGCAGTGTGTTGAACGCATGATCGCGGTCGTGCCACCGCGTAACGTCTGGCGCCACTTGAGGCGCCTGAGCAAGAAGTTCAACATCCCCGACGAGGAGATCGGGGCCTACGTGCTGTTGTGCCTCAAACCTGTCTACGGACTTTCAGAAGCACCCTTGGCATGGCAACTCTACCTCCACAAGTAGGGCCCACCAAAGTCACTTTGATGAATGCTACTGGTGGTGGCCCAGCTCAGCGCATGGTCAGTGGCCGAGCTCATCTTTGTCCACTCATGTGGATGACCTTGCTGTTGAGGGATTTCAGAAATGGCTCGACGAGACTTTCGACAAGATGATCATCAAGTTCGGGAAATTATCCAGGCAGCGGCTTCCCTTCATGCACTGCGGATGCCGTTACTCCAAAATCCCTGACGGATACAAGGTGGACCAGCAAGAGTACGTTGAGATGCTCAAACCAGTGAAGCTGAAGGACGGCGACAATGATGATCGGATGCTGGACGCCTCCGAAACGACGCTACTCCGGAGCGCCATCGGGGCTTTGATGTGGACATCCCTCACGCGTCCAGACCTTCTCGCTGAATTGTCAGCGCTCCAAGGCATTATGAACAAAGCGAAGGTTTGTCACCTTAAGGATGCCAATGGCCTAGTTGCAAAGGCCAAACGAGACAAAGAGGCAGCGATCTACTACCGGAACTTGGAGACCACCTCCTACAGGATCGTATGCATCCATGATGCATCAGCGGCGTCCTCAACGAAGAACTACGCTCAAGAAGGTGTGATTGTCGTCCTCATGAGTGACCACTTCCGCACCACCGACAACCACGTGATTGCGAGCGACTATGTGGCAAAATACTGTCTGTCTGGTCAAGCACAGCTACTACATTGCCAGTCGAACAAGGCTAAAAGAGTGTCATACTCTACCTCCCATGGGGAGACACTGGCAGCCATAAACGGCTTGGAATGCTCCACGCTTGTGAGCACGAGGCTGGCTGAGGCGACGCATGGAACCACACGTCCGACGCTACAGCAGCTGTTGGCTACCCAGGAACGTGGATGCCAACACTTCCCCGTCGACATGCACACCGACGCGCGCGACTTCTGGGAGCTCAGCACGGGGTCCAAGAATCTTCCTCAAGACAAGTCCCAACGGCTCTACATCCTGGCGCACCGCGAAGCCCGAGCTGCGGGCAAGATACGTTGGGTCATTTTGACCCCAACAGAGTGCATGACTGCGGATGCTCTCACCAAGGTCATGACATCGCCAGTGCTGATGGAGTGGCTAACAACCGGCCATGTAAAGTTCTGGAACACGGGTCATGCTCTGGAACTCAAACGGCTTCCTCCTACGAACGACATCAACGAGCACGACCTCATCGAAGGCGAAGCGCTCATGAAGAAGCCTACATGGTTTTCCCAAGTGCCGATGTTCATGTTTTCCAAGAAGCTGTTTGGAGCTGCAGTTATGGCCTCTCTACTACAATGTGCAGCCGGTCAACCAGAAAACGGACTCCCGAACTACTCCCTCGAGCTCCATGATATCCTCCTCATCGTCCTCATGATGATGATTGCTATCTCATCTGCAGCTATCGCGATCTGCTGCGACCGAACTATGTCAAGGAACTCAACTACGACGACTACAACTTCGACAACGTCTTCGAGATCTACTACACCACCTTCGTCTTCTCCGCCCTCAGGCTACGCCGCCGAACCGCTGGCAACGTCTTCTACGACAAACCTGGATGAACCACCTCCGAGCGTTCCACTGAGCAGCAACGGTCAGCCAGTTTGGGTTCGACAAAAAGGGCACTCGTACCATACACGAGAGTGCATATACGCACAGGGCGGCAGAAAGCTGACGCCATGCGGGTTTTGTAACCCTCATAGGCGAGGGCTCTGACGTGCAAAGACCAAAGCGGAGTCAATTTGTCTCTGCTCACTTGTGCAGTGGTCTTACATGTCTTATGCTAGTTTCAACCGTGGATGCCTCAGCCGGCTTGAGTCGAGTGAAAAGCTGCCAATTGATTCGTGCATCTCGTGGTGCCCTCTCGAAAAAAGCACGCTTGCCGTTCACATGCCGAGGCCCTGCTGTACTTTGGGTCTCATCGAGACGTTTGTGCTTTGAACTTTGCAAACGGGGAGCAGGCCGGAAGCGGCCGGAGAGACAGAGTCAGCTTTGGCGGAGTAGCTTGGGGTCAGGTGGGCGGGGGCTACAAGACTGGAGCGCTGGCACAGGCCGGACATGGCCGGACCGCAGTGCAGCTTCTACAAGCATACAATATCTGATTATCTATGTGGAGATGTACTCATACGTTGTAGGTATGTGTATGTATGTTCACAGAGAGAGTGGGGCGGCGGGGCTTTTTCGATTGCGATTACTCATCCTAGTCGTGTCGCATTGGTCTCCTCGTGACCTGTTCTCTGACTCTTGGAGTGACGCCACGGCAGGAAGAGGATCTTTGCCGACGCCTTCCCAATCTGTACACTTCCCTACTGAATGCCAAGCGGGTGTTTCCCTCGGTCCACCATGAACTCCTGTGCTGCATACCTGTCTTGCTTGTGCAGGTGGCAAACTTGTGCCAGCGGCCTCTGCATTGTGCACTCGTGCTGTCTGAGGATGGCTTGTATCCTTTCGGACCTCCAACATGCCGATCAAAGGACGCCTGGCAGGCATCAAATTATGCCGTATGACACTATTGAGCGTGAGACGTCGCTTCTGCAGACGAGTCTGGCGGAATCTAGCTGGGACACTGGGCAACAAAAATGCGGAGCTGCAGGATCGGCCAGAGAGGTATTCGGACGTCCTTTTCACGCCCGACTTGGCCGGATTCCTGGAGTTTGGCCCTTCATGTGCCGGCAAAACAGAGCAGTAGCACATGAGGTTGTAGCGCGGGAGTCCGAAGAGCGTCGATTTGAAGTCCTGCCGCGAGAGAAGCAGGCGCTGCTGTCGGAGTCGGAGCATCATCCGAATCCAAATTAAGTTGCGCCGGCCTGGTGTGAAAGGTACGCGTTTCTTTGGTGACGGCAGCTGCGGCGGCCTGAGCAATACTCTTGGCACCGCGGTTCCTGGTGAGCGTAGCTTGCTCGCCAAGAGACTGTACAAGTGAGCAGCAGCACGCACTGCAGCTTGTCGGACACTTTGAGAAAGGAAAGTCTCATACGAATTGGGACTCTTGAGCCTCCTCTCACATCTCGCGACGCTGGTCGCTGCACGGCTGAGGCACCGAATATCAATTTTGCCAAAGAGGTGTATGACTTGGACCTCATGGCCAACACTATCCGTGCAATCTTCCTCGTTCCGAGGATGGCGAGGTCAGGTTTTGACAGCGTCGCTCTCATGTCACAACGTGAGCTCCCTGCCAGGCCCGAGCTTGATACCCTGATCCTCGGAGCCTGGGGTTGTCCGAGCCTCAGCTCGCTCTCCCGAAGTCTTTTCGTCTCTTCTTTTCTTCTTTGAGTCTTCTCTGATGAGGTGGCGCATTCGGATGCAACCCGCAGCACGTCAGTGATCTGTTTGCCCGGGCCGTCGTGAACGAGGGGCTTGGGTGGTGCAGACTCGTTTACTGCCATAAGTGGGCCATAAAAGGTTGCGGCATAGTGCGACGCAGCACACACTGCGGCACGCATGCCCCTGCCAGGAATCTGTACAAGGAGATTCATTTTGCCATTCCTGCGCCGGCTTGGCTGGTTTACGTCTTTTTATCGTGACTCGTCAAGCCGCACTGCTGCTTCATCAGGGATGCCAACGGGATGGCCTTCCGGGAAACCTTCGCGAAAGTTCCCTTCAAGGCCTGAGAGATCCGTCACCGAGGTCTTCTAACTGTGCACCTCGCAGGAACTCTGAAGTACCCGGATGCGGCGGCTCTCGTCAGATCGGATGTACATAGCTCCGAACGGTCATGCCGAGTCCAATACAAAGAGTGTAGCTCGGTCGCTAGTTTGCAAAGGCTTCAGAGGGCTTCTGACTCCCAGCTTCATCTAGGTTCACACACACTTGCGGGACAGAGTCCTCTGAAAATGCAAAACCTCCACTCGCGCACGTTCAAAACGGCCGGAGACAAAACGAAAGGGCCCGCGTTGCAGTGATTACAGCAGATGCCGATGAGACGGTGATGAGTGCACTTTTGAGCACCTGCACATACTCCTCCCGCAGCCGTGTGGACTCGGGGCCGTGCGGCTGAGCTGCTGAAGCTAGGAGACTGCGGCAATGCACCATGCCCTTCAGGCCTGATACTTGCAACGCTTGCAACATACAGCGCTTCTGTAGTCTTTCTACGTGCGCCGGCGTGGCTGCCTGCATGTATTTGGCAACATGTGGGTTGCCGACGAGTGCAACGGCATCTCCTGACCATCCGCGACTCCGTTGCAGGCCACCACCTCCACAGGATCTACCTGCTGTGAACCACCCGAAGCCAGAAGGCAACAGCTTCCGCGGTGTAGGGAAAAGGATGGGAAGAGGAGTAAGATGAAAAGCATGTTTTCCAGGTGACTTCAGCTTGGTGCTGGCCCCGCCTCCCCCTACGTCCTTGTGTGCATCTCAGCTCGGCGAGGTTCAATTTCTTGAAAGCTGAAAAGCTGCCGCCCTCCCTTTTCTCTCCTGACGAAGGCCTGGCGCCGAAGTCCCCACGGACCGCTTCGGGCATGGCACTGCGCTGGAAATGCTGTGCCTCGCCACGAACCTTACAGCGGTGGGCCGTAGATGATCAAAGGGGCCTGCCAATTCTGTACGAAAGGTGAAACGACGATCAGTGTGATTGCATTGCTGCAAATCACATAGAGTAGAGTAGATGTCCTCGGCCCTGGGATCAAAGAGATGTGGAGCCGAGGAAGCTCAGGAGCCTCGAAGACTTCGAGGTCGAGGCCCTGCATCCTGTCCCTTGTCCTCCAGCAGGGTGCTGCAGTGCAGGGGGCCTCCGAGATCAGAAGAACGTCCGGAAGGAGCGGTGATTTAGAGCTACGAACGATGGTAGCAGAAGTTTGGGCAAGCTGCTCATCGTTATGAAACAATCCCAGCTTGGTATTGGCTCCGCCGCCTCCCATCGGACTTCCGCACGGCTGCCCTGCTTGTCTTCGGGAAAGTGGTGGCTTCCTGTGTTCAGACCTCCGTGCCAGGTGTGCCCCCCGGGCTCACTCGGAGTCTTGCTTTGCAGCACCACCGCCTCCCGCAGCAGCCTGAGGCATGCATGCCACCCGAGCGCAGGCAAGCAAACCAGAGCTGCCATCTCCACCAGCACTTGATTGACATGCCAGCTCAAGAGAGCAGGGAAGAGCCCATAGAAGTGATGATCGTAGCTGCTCAAGCGTTCCATAGAGAAATTGAGCAGTTAAGTCGGAATGCCACATAGTGAACATCATTCTCAACGGTCTCCTTTGAGCCTGGCAGCTGGCTTAGAAGATAGTGCGGAGCCCCGCGCAATGATGAACGGACGAGGATCTGCTTTTCGATGCGATGCCCACCATCTTGGCATACCTGTGGGCCATAGCTGCTGGCGTGTCAGTGGCATTCCAGGTCGGAGGCGTCAGGAGCCCAGCATTGGAGCTGCTTCTTCAACTTAGACCTTTGCATTCCGGGGCACATTTCGTCCGTTTGCGCTTGGATGATTTCGAGATTGTTTTGGATTACGAGTTTTCGCAAACAGGGCCATGGCACTCCAGGGTTCTTACGTTCAGAGCAGAGGGGTTTCTACTGTTCCCGCACCTGTTCCCGAATGGCGCACTGCACAAGACGTTCCCCGGGAGGCGGCTCCTCCCGTCAGAGGCTTTACTGCTTAGCTTCATATTCGCGATTCAGTCATGGCAAACGTGTCCTTCGAACATGGGAAGCCTGTGGGCCTACCGTGTATGTGGGCGGCGTGTGCGCTCTCGCATCACATCGCTATACGGCGTCCAATTTGTTACGGGCGTCGGATCGGCGTCTGTATGTGAGATCACACATCGCAAGGCGTTCCATTTGTTCCGGGAATCGGCATGTGAATGTGGTGCGCTCGCACATCACAGCGAGTGTACCACGCATCACAAGGGGTGCGATTTGTTTCGACATGCATGTTGTGCGACGACACGGGGTACGAATTGTTTTGACGTATGTCTGTTCTGCGCTCACTCATCACGGGTAGGAATTGGCACTCGCCAGACTCGAACAAACAAAAGCTCTGACGCCGCTTCTTTTCGCCTGCAAGTCTGCTTCTGCTGTTTGCCGTGTTTGTTTAGCTTGCATCCCAGCCCCTCCACCCTAAATGGTCATTTCCAATACATGAACCACTTTTTGTGTCGAACAGTTGAACGGCCCAGTCGGGCGAAAGCATTTTGGCTCTCCTTCTGAATCCCGGAAGGAATTATGAGGAGAAGTTGGGGAAGCATAAGCACCGTCTTGCTGAATCGCCAGGGATGAGAAATTGGCCCAATGCTCCTGAATCCCACCAGAAATTGGGCGAAAGCATGTGGGCCCGGGTCCTGAATCCAGCAGTGGTTTGGGGGAAATCTTGTGATCGTGCTCCTGAGTCCTGCCAGTACCTGGTGGTTTTTGTAGGGTCTCCTGGTGTCTCGTCCGGTCGTCGTGGTGCTCTATCACTGCCTGATCTACCATGGAATACTTGCTTCACTGGTCTCAGCAGTCTCCCCGGTAAATTCAGACAGGCGGCGGAAGACACCGAAGAAATTGCAGAGCTGACATCAATCGCGAAGTGAGCTGAGGGCATCATTCTCAATGACACGCCCTCTCCTGCATTCGGCCATGCTTCCTACGTTTTTTCCATCAACCTCGGGATCGGCGCGGTTTGGCTCCTGGCGCTTGTGCGACTACAAGGTTCGCCTTCCCGTATCGCCCTGAAGGTCCTGGAGGCCTTGACAGGCCCTGTTGCATCCCGACACAGGAGGACCAACCCCGAGTGCTCCGACGAGGAAGTGGTCGGTCTTGGGCGGATTCGCGATCATCCCTGTCTTTGTGGCTTGCCTGAATTGGCGCAACTTCCCGACCTCGTGGTCAGGCAGAACTGCTCCTGACAGACGCCCGAAGTTCAGCTCCCGTTTCGGCCTTCATCCTCACTGCTTTGGCCATGGCCGTGGCACTGAGCCTTCTATAAATCGCAGGTCGGCACTGCATCGAAGCGACAAGAGCACAACCAAAGACGTAGGTTTCAGCGTCCCTGCTTTGGTAGCCAAGCTGAGAGGCAAATATGAGCTGAGATTGAGCCTGCTCTTGGCGACCCCTAAGATGACTTTGAAACGAGACAGCTGTGAGCGACTTGTGCAGAAACCGTTCCGTACCTCAAAGGTGGCGAGGTGGTTAGGTAGATCCGGAGAGCCTTCGGAAACGGCAGTGAGGGACCGGGCTTGAAATGAAGGGACCCAGTCCAAGCAAGCCCTATGTGGAACCCTTAGGCAGCGCTTTATCTTGGCAGAAAGTCTCAGGATTCAGTCATTGCGGGTTCTTGCAGCCAAGGTGTGCACACCTGCAGCAGCTTTCCTGGGTACTCAAATGATTCTGATGCTGGTCCTTGTTGGAATGATGACGTGTGCCATCATTTTCGATTGCCGTGGAAAACGACTGCGCTTGACTCGCTACAACTCTATGGGTTTGTGCTTCCTTGCAGCGGCCGTTGGCATCGAAATGGCAGACTCAATTAGCCAAGTGAAGGGCTCCTCATCGGAGATCGTGTTCTATGCAGCCTGCGCTTTGATCGCTGGCACCTGCTACAGCGTTCAGGCCAAGATGAACAAACGGCTAGCCAGGGATCTTGGCTCCTCAGCTCGCAGTGCTTTGTTTTGCAACGTGACTTCGATGCTCTGGGCAATCCCCTTATGCATCACTTTGCAGACGCGGGGTATCCCACTGAACTTCCAAGAGTCAAAGTGGTGGATCTGGCTGCTTTGTGGCCTACAGTCTGCATTTTACACTTATTCGCTTGCAGAGCTGCCGAAGCTGATTGGCTACTCGGTCCTTTTCGTCCTTGTCTTAGCAGGCACTCGAGGGTGGGGCTGGATTCCGCAAGGTTTGTTTCAGGTAAGCCTCTGTATCGGAGCACCTGGAAGGCAAGCTGACAACCGCATCCCTGGCAGACACCTTCGGCCTCTTCTCGCCCCCGCGACCGGTGTCGGTGGCACGCTTTGTCAGTGTTGCCGGGTGCTCAGGGGATCCCAGGGGCCCAGGTGTCCAGGGCATTTCTGAGGCCAGTCAGGCGATATCAGATCGAACGGCCGGGTTGAGCTTTTCCACTGAGGAATTTGCTCTCGACTCACATGCCAACCTGTACCGCTCATTCATTAACATTCACCCTCACATCGACACCATACTCACGAGCTTAGCCTCCATGTGGGCCTTCACCGGACGGAAAGAGCAGTGCCATCACCCATTCAAGTCATGTGTGTTTGGCTGCTCGGGCGTCCTAGAGAGGCAGGGGTGTTCCAGGGATGAAAACTCAAGCACAGATCACAAGCAGCCTGACCAAGGGCATCACAGTTCTTGGAGCGGCGACTGGGACGCAAATTGCATGATTTATGCCGTACAAGCAGTTGCGTCGCAGGACGTTGGCTTTCTGCCACTAACCATAGCTTTTTTTGCAGTGCTGGATAAGTTCACTGCGTAGCCCTCAAACTGCTGCAAGCCCATATAAATATTAAGTTAGGCTTTTTTCCCCGAACCTTAGGCCCTAGGCCTAGACTCCTAGACACGGAAACCAACCAAAATAAGATACGTGGCCCCCGACATTTCTCATTTTGATTCGTTGTGGGGGCCGGTAACAACCTGCATGTCTTTTTTTGGCCGGTGTGCAGCAGGGAAACCACCCAAATGAGTAACGTGGGGTTCAAGTCTTCGCTTCTCATTTTGGTGGGCTTTCCTGCTGGCACTGAACCATTGGTTCCATGCCGCAGGCCTAGGCCGACGCATAGAATTCAGAGGCCTGGAGCCCTCTATACTTCTTGCTTCGGGGTTTTCAGAGGCCCGGAACCGCCCGGCCAAAAGAAGAAATAACACCAGCACCTGGGAGACCCTGCATCTATCAGCTAGACGAGACGTCACTGTTGATTCTTTCTATGTGATCCAGCCGATGCAGCCCACAGTACATGTCTTAACCAGCCGGTACAGCGATTGCGTTGTACTTTATTCAGGTGCTGTTCTCCTACAACCCTGTGCCTGTGCGGACGGAATGCCAAACTCAAGAGCCCATCTGGAGGGAACCGAGCAGCCGCAGCTCAGAGAATGACCTGCCCGAGTGGGAGGAAAACCTCGAGCAACTCCTGAGACAGTCAACGCACTGAGTCGGCTGCCTACGGGTGTGTGCGTGTGGGCCAGGAAGGTACCTCCAAAAGAGGGGTCACCGCACAGCCTACCTCAGGACCTCTGCCTCAATTTTCTTGCTGACACGTCCGCTCCGACATCCGGCTGAAAAGAAGGTCGTCCTCGCTTCGCTCGTAATTGCCAAGGTTTGATCGCAGAGAGGCCGACCTGCCCGCAACGCATGCGACCGCTAAGGTGGGCTTGCCCGAAGTGGTCGGCAAGCCTCTGAGACCGCGTGAGCCTTGGCCATCGTGAAGATTGCATGCTGTTTCCACACGAGCCAGCAGCCAGAGGCCTCCTCCGAGGGGGCTGCCAGATGCGAAGTGCCAGAATCCAGCCCGGCTCTGACTGACCCAGAGGAGGACAAAGGGTTTCCAGAACCCTTGCCAGGAAGGTGGCGACTTCGCTTCGGAGTCCGGCGAGGACAGCAACCTGCCGGGAAGAAGCTACATCCCGGAAGCTGCATAGTCGTAAGCAGGACTCGGACGATGCTCCCTTCAGCGAGGACAAAGAGAGGCCACGCTCTTGCACTGCAGCCAAGCGCAGACGGGCGCCCGGCACAGGCAGCAGAGTGACATGGAGGTTCTCCTGGCACACCGGTCTTCGCGACCGCCTGAAAAGACTTTGTGCACATGGTCCCATGGTATCAGATTGCGAAGACATTTATCGCCGGCAGCACTCTACGGTCGCATGTTCCCATGCTAAATGTTGCCTGCGGGCACGAGAACCTGCAAGGTTGATGAGAAATGCTTCGCGGCAGAATCGCTTAAGCGAGGAGGTGCATGGGCAGCGCCGGTATACGGCAGACATCAACCGAAGTTGAAGGATTCTGAGGAATCTGTTGCTTTGATAGGACATCCCAGCAAGCGCTCACCAGCTAGCTCGGGAAGCTCGCGCAGAGGAGGCTGGGCCTAGCAGCTCCTTGCATGGCACAGACTGCCTATCAAGGCTGAGGAATCAGTTCGTGGTGCTGTTTGCCGCACCAGGACGGTCAGGACGCGCGCGCGGTTGTCGTCAAGCCATCCAGGCTGAGTGGCCCTCGGACCTCCGCAGAGAGAGCGGTGGATTTGCTGAGACCATTTGTTGAGAGTTGTCGTTATGTTCACATGCTGTTGGCCCTAACTTTTTTCGGCAGTTGTAGTGAAGGCGAGTGATCTGGTGCTTCGACCGTGTTCTGCTCAAGTGCCTATAGTGACAAGAACAACTCGTCGATCCATTTAGCAGGAATCTTCCGCAGTTCCGCATGAGCAGCAGACGGACGCGGAAGCGCCTCGGCCGCAGACGCGAGGCCCGAAGTCCTGGAGGCCTGGAGGGCGTGGCATGGCGTGGCAGTGCTCCGCCTGTGCCACAGCTGTGGTGAAGTTCTGAAGCCGCAGGCTGCCTCGGACGGGCCTGTTAGGATGCAGATGGCCGCGTTCCGGAAAATTGGATGCGGCTTTGTTCGGTTTGAGCAACAGCATGCTCACCGGGTGACAAGCGTCTACAGAGACTTTTCAACTCGCACCCGTGATGCATAGCCAAAGCCGTCCTCGATCATGTGCGGGGTCGGGAGTCGAGTCTGGTAAGTCAGCACTGCGGCAAGCACCGCTGATTTGCAGATGGTGTTTGAGTACTCTCCCTTTCGAAGTGCAAAGTATCATGACCAGACACTGCACAAACACCTCGGATGCTTCATCGACAGCCTGCTGATTCCCTACGTCAGGCGGTTGCACCAATGGCAATCATACGAGCTCAGCGACAGTTTGGCTCTTCGCTACGTCTTCGCGGAGAGACGTCAGCACGAGGTCCATGTTGATTCAGACGCTATGGTCACTGCACGCCACTGGGAGTGCGAAAACTCTGGCGGGTCTCCACATGCATTTTGCGACATCTGCCACATCACGACGGTTTGTGCTGGAGCCGGGTGATGTCTTGATTCAGACTTGCCTCATGGAGTTGTCCCTTCCGGCATTCGCTACAGCGAGTGATCTTTTAGGTGAAAGACTCCGAGCAGTCTGGCCTTGTAGAGACTCGGTTACATGTGAAGAATCAGGGCAACACAGAAGGGGGCAACACTCTGGAAAGGCAAGACCCGACCCTTCGCCCGAAGTTCGTCGAACCCCGCCGGCGTTCGCCGAACCCTCGCCGAACCTCCTTCAAACCCTTGTCTGAGCCCTTGTCTAGTACTATTAATACTAATACTATTACTATTGCCTAATACTAATACTAATACTGATACTGATACTAATATTCATACTAATGCTAATACTAATACCAATACTTTTAATACGAATACTATATTTATGTAAACAACTCTTACTACTTATATGAATACTAGCACTAATGATATTAATACTACTTATAATAATAACTAAGAATACTATTACAATAATTAATAATACTAATACAAGTACTAATGTTGTTTATGTAGTGCCATTTTTGATTCCAATATTTATGCTGTTATTCATATGAATGTTTATATTCATAGATTACGGTACTAATATTACGATGACTGTTAAACATTCATAAACTAGTCGTAAATATTCGCATTATTATGCATACCTTAATGTTATAACAAATGGCTCATAGTATAGGTTTGCATTCAAAGTAACGTTTTGTATTATTAGTCATAAATGAAAAATATGTGAATCCTGTAATAAACAGTTACCTTGCGCAAGACTTCTTAGTGTGTTGTTCAGAGGTACTTATTAACATTCAATGTTCATAAAGGCTATTGTCAAGAAAGTATATTGTTGTTTATTTATTCCTTATTATTGCTGCTATCGCTAATGATAACAATTTAAACTAAAAGTCTTTTAAAACTCATCATCAGCACACTATTTCTCACAGGGGCCTGCATATCATCAGGTACTGTCCCAAGTCATATTTTAATAGTACTAATAATAAAAGCCCAGCAACCTGATTGATCAATTTGGACGCGGAACATGTGTGTCCTGGATATTCATTTATTTTACTTTGAGCGGTTATGTATAACAGAGTAATTTTATGAACTTGTGTACGTATATGATATCAAAACCAATCAAAAAATATTACCGTGTAGGTCATGAATAATTAATTACACAGTTTGACTTAGCTAGATTATTAGTGCTTGTGCTTGTTGTAGTCTTGAATACCGGCTAGCAAGAACAATATGCTGTTTTATATTCAGCATGTTTCAGCAACATTGAATACAATAACATTACGATCGTCCCTATACTATTAACCAGAACAAAAAACAAAAGTTGAGTCGACAGAACAAACTTGACAGGAGTGTAGCCAGAGGCTTAAGCAACTAATTTGTTACTGCTATCATGACAAAATGTAGTTAATAGCAACAACAAATAATAATGTGCACATATACAATACTCACCATCATCATCGTCATCATCATCATTTGTGCTGCTGTGTCTTTTTGGGAAAGGGGGGAAGGTTCCAGGACTTCGGCTTCGCTTCAGTTGTCAGGGTTTGGGGTTTGGATTCCCCGAGGGTTTGGCCCGAGTTTTATGCCATTGCAAGAACCCTATCCCCAAAGACCCAAAACGAAAAGAAACCAACCCCACGATGCAGCCCTCCTGAACCCGCAAGCCCAGCCCAAGCAAGAGAGCATTCACGTTTTGCACAAGATCATGGTGCTGCTGGGAGCCCGGGAGTACATGGGCTGACCGTGAGGTCGTGCCCCGGCCTAGGAGCGACACTTAAGGTACCGGGGGGTCGCGCCCGTTTTTGCAAGACGTCCATCGGACGTACGAACATCAGCTGGGAAGCCTAGTCGTAGCACGGCAAGAATTAGCAAGACGTCCATTTGGGCGCCGGCCGTGAGGTCGTACGATTGAGAGATAGCAAAGTCACTACATGGGCAGACGGTAGGGGGAGTAAGATGTAAGATCAATAGACGTCCATCAGGCTGCCGACCAGGTGGTCGCAAGATTGCATAGGAGGGTCAATGCAGAGTAAGTTTATTTTTCCAGCGGGCAACTAGTTACGTGGTATTGAACTGATATTATTGGCCATTGGTATTGAAGGTTATTGGGTTGAGTAGTCAGTCCTACAGTATAAGACTGTGATGTGTTTATAGATGTGTTAATTTCAGGAGGCAAGACCTAACCCTGCCGAGAGCGTAAGAACCGATGACGAACCCCCCCTGATAAAGACGGAGTTTCCGGAAGCTTCGCAATCCAAATCTAAATAGAGATAAGTAAAACTCTTGAAACCGAACCACCCTCTCCCGCGCAAGATTCCGATTTGCTAGCTGCCAGATTGAACAATTAAGTATCAAGGGAACACAAAAGCCAAGCAAGAGACACCGCCTCCGCCGAACTTCGTCGAACCCCGCGGTGTTCCCCTGACCCCCCTCCGAACCCTCGTCAAAAACAACTAGGTCTAGACACTCATACTAAGACTACTAGTTACTAATATATTTTTACAAACAGTTATTACTACTAATATTCGGACCACGAATACTAGTATCACTAATCATGTTAATACTAGTACCAATAATGCTAAGAAAACTATTACCGAAAAGTAATTCTAGTGCTAGTATTCATATTTTTTATTCAGTACAAATATAATTCTTAAGACTAGTACTCGTATTAGTACTCGTACTGATGTTATTTATTCACTACAAAAAATAGTTCTAATGTTCATACTAATATTTTTACGAATATTTATGTTATATTCATACTAGTTTGTGTACCCTTCGTATTTATAAACAATAGTGCTACTACTACTACGATTAATTTTAACAGTAATAAACGCAGAAGTACTGGTAATAAAACTCATACTTTAATGTTATCACAAACGGCTCGTATTGTAGATTGGCACCCATGGTATTACCTTGCATTGTTAGTTATAAAAAGCAACATTATGTGAGCACTGTGATATACAAGTAACCTGTATGATCATTTTTATAGTGTTGTCTTTCTTCTTATTTTTGCTGTCATGTTTGTTGCCGTGCTTAGTTTCATTACTGGCATAATTTGGTATAATTTTTGTTATAGCTATCCTCCTTATTATTAAGATTACTGATTACTGTTTCTTGGGTGGCAAATAGCTACCACTGTTTTTACTATTAGTATTACGATTATTTTTATGGGTGCTATATTATACCATATTTATCGCATTGCCAACATGATACTTATTTCTATCACGATTGCTGTGGCTACTGCTTGCATCACTACTACGTTGACCAACTGTAGGCCATTACTTAGATCCCATAAGCCAATAGTTTCAATAGTAATTGTCGATGGGTCAATGACTATTCTTTGTCTTTTGTTAGCTTCTAAGTACCACATAGGTACTATGATTAGTGCCAGCACCATGGCCGGTTGCGAAATGCCCAGTCTTGGTTTACAGGTACTACTGTCTTTCTTATTTCTACGGCACTATTTCTTGTATCACTGTTTTAGTAACTTTTGCCACTAATTCTACTACTATTATAGTTTCTGTTTGTGTCTCCGACCCCTATCCATATTGTCGTTTGTTCCTATCCATGTTGTCGTTTTGTTCTCCTCGGATTATTTTTCAAGTTGCGGGTAATATTTGTGCTTACCCGTTCGACTTGCTTTGCTATGGTTACGCGCTATCACATTCCCGTCTTCTTTGAGTGTCACTACCATTGTAAATATTTCCATGGCTATCAATGGTGCTATTGGTTTTGAATATCAACACCGTTTTTGTGCTACTAATTTTACATTTGCATTGATACTGTTGCGATTTGGGCTGCAGCTGCTGTTCACGCTACCCATCCGTTATGATTAGTATCACGGTTTCTGTTATTCTTAGCTTGATTACTACTATCACCACCATTATCAGTATCACTACTGCTATATTACTACTCGTCCGGTTGGTGCTAGAATAGCTATAATTTGTTCTGCTACTTATCACACCATGGCTGCACATATCAGCTAATTATCTCTTCTAGTTTCTTCGCTTTTGTTTTTGGTGTTGTCGTTATTTCAATCACTGCCCTTATTCTTGCTTAATAAGGTTGTGATCATTTGTTCCATCAGTGCACGTTTTTTCCGCACGTTTTCACAAGCTGTTTAATTCTCC